AATTTGACCACACCATTCATAAATATATTGTGTCGTTAAGCTGAGATATCCCGAACCCGAGATTTCAAGTAAATTGTGTTGAAATTTCATATATACTTTAGAAAGCTCAGACCCAGTAGATAATTTTCCCCTTTTCAGTAAATCAATTTCATAGCTGGGTTACAGTTTGTCAGGTCCACTGACCTGTGTGAGGCACACTCAGAAATGCACAATGTTTTTATACAGACATGGGGTGCAAGTGTCTGGTGCTAATGTGCAAAACTGTTCAGTTAAAGTGTCAGCGAGATAAAAGTGTGTGTTTTCAACAGGTGGTTTGTCAAGCCAATTACCCGTGTGAGGCACACACAAAAATTCATTCATTCATTTTCTTTTTGGCTTAGTCCCTTTATTAATCAGGGGTCGCCACAGCAAAATGAACTTTGCCCTCCAAAGCATCTCAAAGCACTTTACAGACATACAGACTGCTGTTTTTAGTAAACATATTTAGTCCTCTAATATATCCTCCTCAGTGAGGCATTTTAATCTTTAATTAGTCTGTTTATAAACTGCTTATTTACCTAATTTAAATCGCATTTCATCATGACTTTCCAATCCTGTAAAGGATGTATTGCTTCCCTCAAACACACACAAAATTAAGCATCTACTGTAAACAATTGGGGATTTATAAGCTGTCAACCTAAAAACAAAAAATTAATAATATATAAGTTTATTTAACCAGATAAAAACCCATCGAGATCAAGATCTCATTTACAAGGGAGGCCTGGCCAAGAATACATTCATTCATTCATTCTCTTGTCGGCTTAGTCCTTTTATTAATCCGGGGTCGACACAGCAGAATGAACCGCCAACTTATCAAGCAAGTTTTTACGCAGCGAATGCCCTTCCAGCCGCAACCCATCTCTGGGAAACATCCACACACACTCATACACTACGGACAATTTAGCCTACCCAACTCACCTGTACCGCATGTGTTTGGACTGTGGGGCAACCGGAGGAAACCCACGCAAAGGCAGCTAGAACATGCAAACTCCACACAGAAACGCCAACTGAGCCGAGGTTCGAACCAGCAACCTTTTTGCTGTGAGGCAACAGCACTACCTACTGCGCCACTGCCTCGCCCTACCACATTTCATTATATTGAAAACACATGCATTGAGAAATTCACTGTTGTTGTTTGTTAAAAAGCATAGAGCGTAACGATGTCATTGGGAGGAGCTCAGACATTTTTAGTTCAGACTGAAGAGTATTCCAGGATGAGGGGGCAATGCACTGCATTTACAAAGATTCAGAGGACTCGATTCCCAACAAACATCACTGAATAAGCATGAAACATGTTGAAGTGCACAGAGTCTCCAGAAGAGGGCGCTAAAAACAAGTATTGAAGCATCCCTGATATAAACCGCATGCTGTATATTTCAATCTAATTAGTAACAGTTTTATTCACATTTGTAATTAGGCCTATTAATTTTAATAAAGTTTTGTATAATTTACTTGAAACCTATTTAATCAGAGTAATCTTTTTATTTTAATCAAACTATTTTATATTTATTACAATTATTTCTTTAATCTAATTGTATTCATTGGTTTGATTCTCTTATAAATGTGTGTTGCTGATGAGGTTAATAAAATCTTTGAATGTTTATGTTATAAATTTAAATGATTTATTGATCACCTTTCAGTCATTTTTACATTTAAATATTTAAATCCCTTGTTTGATTTGGGAGTACAAAGGATTTTCAGAAACATTGTAAGAGAAAATGCTTCAGTAAACTCTGTTGGTTTTGTGTTTGGTGTTATACGAGATTTACATTGTTAAAATGGTGTTTAAAAAAATCAAAACTGCTTTTATTCTTGCCGAAATAAAACTAATAAGACTTTCCCCAGAAGAAAATATTTTATCAGACATACTGTGAAAATTTCTTGAATCTGTTCAACATCATTTGGGAAATATTTAAACAAGAATTCTGACTTCAACCGTTTATATGTAACTTCATTCATTCATTCATTTTCTTGTCAGCTTAGTCACTTTATTGAATGAACCGCCAACTTATCCAGCAAGTTTTTATGCAATGGATGCCCTTTCAGCTACAACCCATCTCTTGGAAACCCTCACACATAAACTACGGACAATTTAGCCTACCCAATTCACCTGTACCGCATGTGTTTGGACTGTGGGGGAAACCGGAGCACCCGGAGGAAACCCACACGAACGCAGGGAGACCATGTAAACTTCACACAGAAATGCCAACTGAGCCGAGGTTCGACCCAGTGACCTTCTTGCTGTGAGGCAACAGCACTACCTACTGCACCACTGCCTCGCCTATATGCAACTTATTTGATCTATTTTTAGTATGGGGAGCTCTGCTGTGACGTGAATTTCTCTTTGGGATAATTAAGTCAAACAAACAAACAAACAAACAAACATTATGTTGAATAGAATTTATAATAAACTATATTTGGACCAAAAGCCAACAAATATATATATTTGATTATTTGTGTAATTGCCTCCAAAATAAATCTACTTTTAGCAATGTTAAACTTAACATTTAAAAAAATAAGCAATTATTTGTTGCTTTTACAACTGGGATCGACGACAAGACTTTAGTCAGGTAGTGTATAATAAGAAATCTTTCTGCATGAACTGGAAGCTCTGAGACGTTTTTTTTTTCAGTATGTTGATGAACCACCAACTGAAACTAAATATTGAGTTTCAATCAACTTTGTAATTAGGCCTAATTTTATATCAATATAAAGCTTATTTAATCAGATGAATATTTTTAAATAATTAAATCGTTTATTAAAATGTTTTATAGATTTGATATACCCATATATTTTAATTTTATTATTTATTATTATTTGTATATTCGTGTATTACATTATTTCTCTAGCACAATTTTGACATTTACATATATAAATTAATCCTTTGTTTGATTTGGCAACACAAAGGCGTTTTCAGAAACACGGTCAGAGATGATTTAACTCTGCAATGTTCAATTTGTAGATAACATAGACACACAAATGCACTTCATTAAACATAGACATCTCCTATATGCTATAAAACTGCAGGTTAACTATATAATAACTTATATTTGTTTGGAACTTTAAATTAATCTAATTGTAATGCGGTAATGTGCACCTTTTCTTTTTTTTCTTTTTTTTATTGGTTTTAATGAACATACAAACGTAAACAAAAAAGGGCAAAGACAAATGTATCAGTAGACAAATATAGCAGCAAAAGGCAAAGAGAAAAAAAATCTATAATTAAATTATTTCAAAATAATAATAATAAAGAAATAGATAAACATACCAACAAAATACAAAAAAAATAAAAATAAAACATAATACACAAAGTTATGCAGTGATTAAGGTCACACATATTGTGAAAATACATCAGATGTGTTCATAGAGTCAGAGGATCATTAGAGGCATCCATATTTTTTGAAAGGCATCCCCTTTGTTTTTTAAGTAGTATGTATATTGTTCCAAGGGCATTGTTTCATTCAAGAGTTTTATAAAGAGTTCAAATGTTGGAGGTTTTTGTTGGTTCCAGTTGAGCAAAATGCATTTTTTTGCTATATAGGAGATGATGCCGAGTCTCTTTATAGAAATAGGATCAAGTGTCTTGTTCAGTTCTGTACTAAAGAGGTATAGTGTTGGTGTGTTGTCCAATGGAACTTGCAAAGCTTTGGCTGTAAAGTCCTGTACTGCTTTCCAGAAACATTTTAGCTTTTTGCATTCCCAAAAAACATGCATGATTGATCCTAAATAGGTTTTACATCTGTGACACCTGGGTGATACATTAGGGTACATTTTGCTCAAACGAAGTGGGGTCAGATACATCCTATGTATAAATTTATAATTTTGTTCAATTATTCTGTTATTGGACAGGGGAATGAAAGCATGTGCACCTTTTCTAAAGAGTCTTTGAAACTATAGAATTGTAAAAGTACAATAATGCTGTACAAACTTTTGATTTCATTATTTTATAATAATCTTTTAAATGGGGTCATTACTTTATTCTTGTATCTGAATGCTTCAGTTTTTGCATCATCATTTTTCCGTATATCCTGCATTTCATCATGACTTTCTAAACCTGCAAATGACTTTATTTAATTTCTGAAACACACAAACAATGGGCAGTATCATTACAAAATGACTAAAGGGTGTCATGAAAGGTATGAGCAATGCACTGCATTCCCAAAGATTTAGAGGACTATGCAATAATAATGTTAAATGGATAAAATAATCACGTATATTCAAAATATAATGTAAAAAAAACGTGAATTTTTAATAGGAAAATGTTCCAAAACCGCACCTTTCATGTATGTTTGACATGTCACGCTTAAGTGACTCATAGATTTCTGTAAGGAAAGGGATTTTACAAATCTTTTTCCCTAATCTAGTGGCTTTTTTTTCTGCAAATGCGACACTGAACACCTTCACAGTGGTGATGAATACAGCTGTACTCCGCACGTGCGCTAGCCCCGCCCACCCAGAGCCCCGTGCTGGCGGCACGTGGGAAGGCACGAGCTCACCGCTAGGGTGGAAAAATACAACAGCACGAGCACATAAACACGCTCTTTATGTCTATTAAACATGTTTTAAAAGTATTAAGAAGTCAGCTTTAAAGTCACAAATGCACCTAACACGATTATTGCTATCTAGTGTAGATATAAACCTGGCGTTTAGCATTGATACCCATTTTTGACGCATTTACTTGTAATAAGGGGGACATGATCTGTTGATTTCGTTTGTTTGTGTTCAGGGTCACGGTAAAGATTGTATTCGTCTGTTTTGGGGAACAAAAGACACTCGCTTGTCTTGTTCCGCACATTGCCGTGGCGTTCAGCGAAGCGGATAAACAGTCGACCAATAAGAGAGCGAGTTTCAAAACAACACGCCCTATCAGCTTAAATATTCATGACCTGTTGGAGAGGCAGCTAATCGGCGTTTTGAGTGGCGCGTACTTCATGAATATGCGATTATCTCGCCCAGTACACGCAGGAGTGGGTCGCTACGCTGTTGTTTTGGCTTGCTCAAACGGAAACAGGAGCTTTAACCGAAATTATCGACACACCTTTAATATCTGACCCCGAAAACATCGTGCTAATGATGCCTGGACACGCGCTGGAGACTGTGGTCATCGGTCAGCAGAAATCGTCCGCTTTTGTTTTGAAGAAGATCATGAACATTCCGCCTCCAAACATACTGGAGGATCAAGACGACGGTAGGAGATGATTAAAGCTGACGGAATGGCGTTCACTTGTTGTTGTTGTGTTTATGTGTAAATGTGTTCAAGTGTGTGTGTTCAAGTATGTGTGTGTGTGTGTGTGTTCATGCACTTGGCTTCACCTCCTCAGCTGCGCCTTCACTCACGAAAGAACAGAAAGTTCCCTCAGAGAGCGTGTTTATAATTGATGCTCTGAGGTCGAGAGACCGCCGTACTTCCGTGTTTTATGACTTCATTCGTCTTTTTACACGATAATCCTTACTAAAAGTGTCTTGCTACATGCCCAGGACATCTATATACTGAAATATGTGTGCATGTATCATGTTGTTACCATGGCATGGCTTTGTTATTGTTGTTATGACGAAAATAGTCCCCAAAATCATCAAAACAACACTGAAACAGCTTTTAATTCACCTTAAACGTCTCTTATTTATAGGAAATGCATATTTGATGGGTATGAATTACATTTCGGTGACTTTCTAATGAAGATCATGTAGTTAGAATTAAAATTAATATAAATATTGACCCAAAATGTCAAATAGAAGCTGTGTTTCAGTATTTTTCATTTATTTATTAATATCCATCTTATATTTTTGACCCATTATATTAGCAATAAGTGAAAACTATTTCATTGTTAGTGTTTTAGGCTTTGCTGAGATGTTGAACTCACTCAGGTCTGTAGGTTAGTCATTTATATTCTTGCATTTTGCTGTTGAGAAGTGTGTTAACATTAGAATATTGTGAAAGACATGGTTGCTTTATGAATTTAATCAATAATAGTCATCATCATCATCATTATTATTATTTTACCTGTTGGGTTTGCCAGTTTGACAAACACTTTCACTTGTTGACCACCTACGCAGCTAGTTACAAAGCTAGACTACTTACAGAATTAACTGGCTGATCTGTGGCCTGTGGTGCCCTTTTAAAGTTATTAAAGGGATAGTTCACACATACTTTAATTTCTCATCATTTACTCACACTCAGTTGGTTTTAAACCTTTTAATATTTGCTTCTCTTTAACATAAAGATATTCAGAGGAATGTTGGAAAAAACAACCATTGACATTCATTGTAAGAACAAAAAATCCTGTGGAGGTCAGTGCTGTTTTCCCATCATTCTTCAGTATATCCTCCTTTACTTTGTGGGCCACAAGAAGCCACTGTGTCTGGTTGCACCACCATCTTGGTTTTAGTTTAGTTTTAGTTCTTGGCTTTATGTTCAGGAGGGGGAAGAAACAGGTTTGGAACAAGTTGGAGGTTGAGGAAATGCTGACAGTTCGACTTTATAGGCGAACTATCCCTTTTAATGACAGGTTACACTGCTGTAAGTATTGATGTTTAAGTATCAGTATATTAATAAATCTGTCAAGAATAAAGCTCTGAGTTAATCTCAAAATCAAGAGGCGAGAGAAAGACATTATCAGGGGTTTATTTACTACATAGAGAATAGGGCTGCATGATACTGGAAAAAAACTTTGCGATGTTTTTTATTCTGTGATATATGAGCAATTCTGGCGTTATGGATGTGACATTTTCAGTAAAAACCCAAAACATAAATTGACATAGAAAGTATATGTTAACATTATATTCAAACATCATATATGTTCTAGAACAACTGACCACAGAGTTAAAGGAGCAGAAAAAGATCAATCTGTAAACGTGTTTTGTACTTTAAATAAAGGAAATGAACAAGAGTTATGGATGTGACAACACAAGTCTGCGGGTTTACAGTATTCAACATGCTTTGTAGAAATTCTGTGGATTAAACTGCACAACTAAAAAAATAACGCTTATCAAAAGGAGAAGTGTTGGCTCTCTATACAACAAACATGATTGATTTTTATTTATTATTTTCACATTTATGAGGAAAAAAGTGTCGTTATGGATGTGACGTCTCTCCGTTATTGATATGACGGATGTAAAATTGCCACTTGTGTGACTTTGTTAAATTAAACATACTAGTTTGAAAACATTGACACATGCATTTTTGAGTATTTCTAAAGTACTGTAAAATACCTCCTTACACAAAAAAAACTTAGAAACAGTTTCCATATTTTGGTGAAAACTTTTTTTCATGGCAAGGTTGACATTTGCATGAAATTGCTCATACACACACACACACACACACACACACACACACACACACACACATATATATATATATAGCGATTATTAATATAATTTCGCTAGAAGAGTTTAATAACTATTTGGAATAATTTAAGATTGATTGGGATGATTCTAAAAGTGCATCTGCATAAAATATCATAAACAATCTACAGGCATAGATAAACTCAAAGAAAAAGGTACAAATTAAAAAGACATTGTTTTATTGTTTTCTGATGAGTCTAACTATATTCAGCATGTAATTGAATAACCATATGTAAAATACATAGTGTATAATAGTGTTTGTTTTGTAAATAGTTCAATAAAATTAATCATTAATAAGTTTTCAAATGGATATTGTCTTAAGTCTTTATGCTTTTAAAATCCTCTTTTAGTCACAGGCATCAAAAAACACTTGCAAAGTGATCAGTTATAATCCTGACTCAACACTGATTGCATATACTTGCGATGTGGCATGGGCCGGTATAAGATTCTGACTGTATGATAACCTTGGATAAAAACATCACGGTATTGTGATTACTGCTCTAAAATATATATTTTAAAAATGTCTGGTTAAAAAAAAAAAAACTTTTTTCCCTCTCTAAAAACAATATATTATATTTTTTGAAAGATTTATAATATTTTGGAGCCGTAAACATGTCAGGCTAAATAATGAAAATAAATAATTGACTTCTGCTGTCTTCATTGGTATCATAAACACAGATTTCTTTATGATTTAAAATGGCACCTTTGGATATTTTTTTCTGCTGAAGATACTGTTGTCCTAGAAAACAAAAAAAGTGTAAATAAAAAATCTTACACATACCCTAGGAACAGTATTACTGAAAATTCTGCCAGTTTTAAAACCTTGACTTTTCCAAACCGCGGTATACCTTGAAAACGGTTATCATCCCATGCCTAGATGTGACTATTTCAAATAATCACACACTGTGATATTGATGCTGAAACATTATATCGTGCAGCTCTAATAGAGGATATTGAGGTGGCCAACTCCATCAATTTTTGCAACACCTCCACCTTTAGCCAAAATTCAGACAGGTAGTCAGTATTGACTGACCCAAAAGTGATGCTCATGTATTTAAAAACATTTAATGTTAGTCTTTTTCAAATAATAATATTGGATTTTATTTATAATGTGCTTTTCTCAAACTCAAAGAACTACAAGTATACACAACAAAATAAGAATACAAGCCAATGTTTAGAAATGCTCTTGTACACTATTTACTCAATACTTGTATTTGTTTCTGATCTCTGTTTGCCAGTGGTATACTGAATATTTATATTTCATTGGAAGGTTATAGTAATATTGAATATCATTAATATAATGTGGAAGATGCGTATTGTTTTGTGGTTAGATAATTGAGAGTTTGTGTATTTGTGTGTGTTGATTATTGTTTTGTTTTTGTATTTATTGTATTGTAATGATGGTTGTATTACTGCTCTACAGTATTTGCCATTTGTCTATATATTTACAAACATTGAGGGCCCCCTTGAAAACGAGATGATTCTTACCCTCCTAATAATACAATTGTGTAAATTAGTTTTATTTTTGCACTGTTAGATTCGCCGTTGTCTTTACAATAAAGTGTTTTTTTATATATATACAGTTAATGTCAGAATGATTCGCCCCTGTGATTTTTTTCTTTTCCTCTAATATTCTTCAGAAAGTCTTATTTGCTTTATTTCGGCTAGAATAAAAGCAGATTTGAATTTATTTAAAGCCATTTTAAGGTCAATATTATTAGCCCCTTTGAGCTATATTAGTTTTGGATAGTCTACAGCACAAACCACTGTTATACAATGACTTGCCTAATTCCCCTAACTTTACCCTAATTAACCTAGTTAAGCCTTTAAATGTCACTTTAAGCTGTATACTAGTGTCCTGAAGAATATCTAGTCTAATATTATTTACTGTCATCATGGCAAAGAGAAAATTAATCAGTTATTAGAGATGAGTTATTAAAACTATATTATGATTAGAAATGTGATCTTCGTTCCATTAAACAGAAATTGGGGTAAATAATTCACACTTCATCTGTATACATATAACTAAAGTCTGCTTTTCCTCTTAGATATCGAGAAGGAGAAGCAGGCCTCTGCTGGCGATGGGGCGTCCGCTGGCAGCGGGGCTTCAGGGGGCGTCTCCGCCTCCCTCACGCCCGCCATCTGGGAGAAAACCATCCCGTACGACGGCGAGACCTTCCACCTGGAGTACATGGACCTGGACGAGTTCCTGCTGGAGAACGGCATCCCCGTCTCACTGGAGGAGGAGCTGAACCGCGGACTGGAGGCCGAGCGGCGGGATGGCGAAACACAGGCGTCCTCTGAGAACTCAGAGGAGCCCGCAGCCGTCCCGGAGATGCCTGAACAGATGCAGACAGAGCAAGACGAGGATCTGTCTGACAGTCAAACAGCAGAACAGGAGCTGAGCGAGGAGACCACTGCAGGTCAGATCACACTATTTTTAAAAATAGTTTTTAGCACATTTTAAAACAAGAAACCCATCTAGGATGCAGCACACAATTACTGATCACACTTTACAACCAGGTTTCATTAGTTCATGTATTTACTAACATGAACTAATTATGAACTATACTTGCATTTATTAATCATAGTCTAAAGCACAGGTGTCAAACTCAGTTCCTGGAGGGCCGCAGCTCTGCACAGTTTAGCTCCAACCCTAATTAAACACACCTGATCAAACTAATTGAGTCCTTCAGGCTTGTTTGAAACCTACAGGTAAGTGTGTTGGAGCAGGGTTGGAACTAAACTGTGCAGGGCTTCGGCCCTCCAGGAATTGAGTTTGACACCCCTGGTCTAACGTTTACTAATGCATTATTAAAGTTCAAACTCGTGGTTGTTAACCTTTAGGTATTGCAACATTAGTTAACATGAACTAACAATGAATTGTCATTGACTAATTTTAAATAACATTAATTAATACAACCTTATTGTAAAATGTTACCCAGTTATTTTGATAATCGATTATTTGGGAGATTAATTTTTATTTCAAATAAAAACTACATTTTTTTAAAGCCGTTTTCCGTATTACAACTGTATTAATCTGTTAATCAAGCTATTATTTATGTATAAAATTATACTTAAAAAAATACAAAAGTTTTGATCTTTAATGTTGACATTTCAAACCTTCAATGAAAAACAAAGTTTGCTTTTGAACAGTAATTTAAATATCACAAAATATAAATAAACAAAAAGCAAAACGAGTGTTGCACTCCTATTATATTCACGTTTTGAAATTAGGACATGAATATAATGACAATAAGATATTAAGCAAAAATTTTAAAAATATAAATAAACAACAAATTCTTATTTTTTAAACAGAAGTAGACGAAGCAAACTTTCACTGTTGTTGTTTGCTGGTTTTAAATATGTAATGTCTCACTGTGTTCAAGCTCTGTACGTGAATACAGCTTGTGAAGCGGGAACACAAATCTGAGGTTAAACTGAATTCGACACAACATCTATGAATCAATAATTACATTTATTGACAACAAATTTTTCACTATCGATAGTTGATCTATTAGTTGTTGCAGCCCTGAAGTCATCTGCACAATTTAATTATGTCAACTGGGTTGTTGAACAGTATCTAGGATTTACTGTAGTCGATATTTTAGGTGGATTAAAACCGTTTTATCCAAACTGTCCTTAGACAAGAATAGGTGTTGTTCAATAGTCAGACAATGGTGCTGTAGACCCATTTCATAAACTTTTTTTTTTTTATCAACTATAATTGTTGACTACTTTATTCAATGGCGATAGACCTTGTATCTCTGAAGTCCATAATTAGATAAAAGTCATATTTCCTGTATTGATAGTACAAATATTGGTGATGAAAGGTAGTATAAAGCCATGGTCACACTGCACTTTTCACCCCATAGACTTTCATTCATACGCACGTGAATGCGACAGACCGGAAGCGCAAGTTTCACAGTTCACTGAATTGCAAAGTTCAAGCTTGGTGAACTCTGACCTGCGAAATCGCATCATGTGACTGCACTGAAGAACATGACCTTTCTGTGTAGAAATTTAAAATGTGGAGCAATCACTCGCTTTTTTTCAATGTCCAATCATCTTGTTTAATCCCGCCCCTTTTCGCAGCGTCGTACGACAGAATTTCACATGCTCAAACTCTATAAGGCTAGATTTACACGACAATATAATCATTCATTCATTTTCTTTTTGGCTTAGTCTCTTTATTAATCTGGGGTCGCCACAGCGGATTGAACCACCAACTTATCCAGCACATGTATTACTCAGCGGATGCCCTTCCAGCTGCAACCCATCTCTGGGAAAACATCAATATAATCAAAAATGTAAACGTTTTTCCCTGGTATTTTAAAAAACGTATGACATATTCACAATGTTTTTAAAACCATTTATCTCCACACATACAACACATTTTACATCACTTTATGATTATACACAATTTAATTTTTGAAGATTACTTCTTTCAAGTAATTACTCAGTGGCTGCTTTCATAAATCTAGAACAACTCTGGCAGAAGTGAAGCCAAAACTTATTATTATCATTATTATTATTATTACACAAATTGTTTTATTCATCTTACTTAATTTATCAAATTTTTTTTTACTCAGTTTACCTAAAATAAATATTCAATATTTTTCTAATTAAATTGTAATCAATAGACTTTTTTCTGTAGCTTTAAAATACTGTTTAGATATTATTTAGAAACAGCACTGGATATACCTGCCGGTCTGTTACTATGGGAAAAAAAAATCTTCATTATCCTAGCAGAGTTTTAATCATTGGCAGCATGTACATTTAATAAATAATTTAAATGCAATTATTTCAGCTAAATATAAGCAGTGCAATATGTCAAGCATTTAACCTGAGGAAAACAACAACACGTGCAAGTGTTTAAAAGTAGCCCAGACTTGGCAACATTGCCTATTAGTGGCTTAACCCTTAAATAGGCATTGTAAGCACTGGGTTGACCTTTTGTGCACACTGCATAGCTCATTATTAAAACAAAGTATAATCTAAATTTGCTCAAAGTGATGCCAGGAACACAACTTAACCAACAAAACTTGATAAATCTAAATGCATAGTACTATTGTTTTAGAAGAGCAGCTTGTACATGTTTAGACCAGCTTTACTAACTAGATTCTCAGTATTTTCTCAAAGCGTGTTTATTTTGATAACAGAGTATTGCGATTATGATGATGGTGGTTTATAATGTGTGGAAAATAGGTGATCATGGTAATGGATTCGGGTGTTTATATATTAGTGGAAAGAGAACTATTTCTGTCCAGTAACTCCAGCTAATAACTGAGCCAAAACATTTGAGTGGAGTTATTATTAAACTGGGTAAGCTGAGCTCATATAAGAAGGTGGTTGGTTGGTTGGTTGGTTGGTTTGTGTGTCTGTCCGCCTTAAATTAGTTTCATATGCCATAATCTGTTTTCTCCAGCAGCCTATTTTAAGTTTTACACCTCAAATTGTGGAAAGGTGAATGAATGAATAAAGGAATACATGAATGAATGAATGATAAAATAAATAAATAAAGGAATGACTAAATAACTGAAGGAACCAATTAATAAATTAACAAATAAAGGAATAAATGAATGCATAAATAAAGAAATGAATGGGTGAATGAATAAATGAGTGAATGAATGATACAATTAATGATTAATTAAAGGAATTGAAAATGAATGAATGAATGAATAACTGAATAAATGGAGGAATGAAAAATTAATTAATACATAAAGGAATGAATGAATAAAAAAGTGAATAAATAGATGAATGAATTAATAAATAAGAAAATTATAAATGAAGCAGTTAATGAATAACTCAAGGAAATAAATGGAGGAGTTAATACATAAAAAATTAATAAATACATAAAGGAATGAATGAATAAAGGAATAACCGAATGGATAAATGAATGGATACATGAATGAATATTTAAACGATTGAATAAATAAATTAGTAAATACATGAAGAATGAATGAATGAATGAATGAATAAATGAAGGAATATATAAAGGAATTAATAAATAAAGGAATAAATGAATGAATAAATACTGGAATGATTGAATAAATAAAGGAATGAATGAATAAATAAAGTAATATATAAAAAAATAATAAATAAAGGAATAAATAAATACTGGATTGATTGAATAAAAAGGAATGAATGAATGAATAAATAAATAAAGTAATATATAAAGGAATGAATAAATAAAGGAATGAATGAATGAATAAATACTGGAATGATTGAATAAATAAAGGAATGAATGAATGAATGAATGAATGAATGAATAAAATAAATAAATAAAGTAATATATAAAGGAATGACAAAAATAAAGGAATAAATGAATGAATAAATACTGGAATGATTGAATAAAAAAAGGAATGGATGAATAAAAATACATAAAGAATGAATGAATAAATGAAGGAATGAATGAATTAATAAAAGGAATGGATAAATGAGTAAATGTGTTAAAGAAGGAATGAATAAATAAAGGAATGGATTAATAAAAATACATAAATAATGAATGAATAACTGAAGGAATGAATGAATGAATTAATAAAAGAATAAATAAAGGAATGAATGAATAAATTAATAAATAAAGGAATGGATGAATGAATAAATAAAGGAATGAATAAATAAAAAATACATAAAGAATAAATGAGTAAATTAAGGAATGAATGAATTAATAAAAGAATACATGAACGAAGGAATGGATAAATGAATGAATAAATAAAGGAATGGATAAATGAATGAATAAATAAAGGAATGGATAAATGAATGAATAAATAAAGGAATGGATAAATGAATGAATAAATAAAGGAATGGATAAATGAATGAATAAATAAAGGAATGGATAAATGAATGAATAAATAAAGGAATGGATAAATGAATGAATAAATAAAGGAATGGATAAATGAATGAATAAATAAAGGAATGGATAAATGAATGAATAAATAAAGGAATGGATAAATGAATGAATAAATAAAGGAATGGATAAATGAATGAATAAATAAAGGAATGGATAAATGAATGAATAAATAAATTAATGGATAAATGAATAAATAAATAAATAAAGGAATGGATAAATGAATGAATAAATAAAGGAATGGATAAATGAATGAATAAATAAAGGAATGGATAAATGAATGAATAAATAAATTAATGGATAAATGAATAAATAAATAAAGGAATGGATAAATGAATGAATAAATAAATTAATGGATAAATGAATAAATAAATAAAGGAATGAATCAACAAATAATTGAATGTATAAAAAGTAATGAATTAATGAATGAATAAAAGGATTGAACAAATAAAGAAATCATTTAAAAAAAAATTGAATGAATAAATAAGAGAATGAATGAATAAAGGAAGTAAGGAAGTTTATGAATTAATAAAGGAATACATAAATAAATAAATAAATAAATAAATAAATAAAAGAATGAATGAGTGAGTGAGTGAGTGCATAAAAAAGGAGTAAATTAATAAATTAAATTTGAACAAAAATGATTTTCCCTCAACTGTGTCTACTACATATTTAAGGAAAGGGAAGCTCTCTGGAATGAGTACTCAGTGTGAAGAAGATTAAAGTATGAGATCTGATTTATTTTTAACTTATTATTAGGGATGTAACGGTCGATATTACCGAAGTCGCATTTCGATATTACCGAAGTCGCATGACTCGGTAAAACTATAGGTCTTCTGAGAAAATTTGCTCAGGCGAATGAAGCGAATGGGAGGTAGCGAAAACTACAATTCCCATCAGCCCCGGCGTGGCCATAATCCTTTGCGGTCTGTTGTCTCTACAGATCCAGTAATGCGGAAATGGAGTGTGCTGCTAGTAGCGGAGATGAAAAAAAGATGGAAATGATCGAACCTAAAGCGGGTGTTGTCGCCGCGCGCGTGCTGAATAGCGGTGCTGTCGCGCGCGTGCTGATCAGCTGTGTTGTGGCGCGCGTATTGTAAAGCGCCGAGGGGGGGTTGAGCGCGCATACTCAAGAGAGGTGTTATCGCGCGCCTACTAAAGGGCTGGACTGGACGGAGGTTGTGTCGCGTCGCGGGGGCACTTTTGATCGTTTTGGAAGGGCATTTTCTATCCAAGACTAAAAAGGGCATGTGCACTGCACAGGTTGAGCCCTATGTGTGCACGTGCCTGCAAGTTGGGGAATACGACTAATAACAGTCATGGGGACTGCAGAAACACAGCACACTGTTCAGATTGATGCAGACATTGACTTGTACCGCAAAGAGACCTCTATCTCACTCATGGTTTGTCCTCTCAAGTGGGGGAAAGACAATGCACAACGTTACCCCACTGCTGTCAACATGGGCCAAGTCATATCTCTCTTGTCCCAGAAACCTCAGTCCCAAATGAGAGGGGTTTTTCTGTTGCAGGGGACATTGTAAATACCCAGAGATACCAGCTTTTACCAGATTATAGTTATATGATAATTTTCCTTTAAACCCATCTCTATCTAAGTGAGTGATTAAATGTTAAATGTGATGAGTTTTTAACAATGCTAAATTGAAACTTTATTTTTTTACATGGTTTAATAATTTTTTGTTATTAAAATTGAAGTTCCTGTTTCAAAGCTAACAGATAGATGGCTAATTTGTATGTCATTGACACTTTTGGCACTTTTTTGGAGTGTTTTCAAAAGTTTTTTTTTTTCCTGTAAATGATTCAATAAATACCGTACCGTGACATTCATACCGAGGTATTACCGTACCGTGAAATTCTGATACCGTTACATCCCTACTTATTATCATTATCTTATTTCCCCTGCTGGTGTTTTGCTGTGTTTGAGCGTCTCACCCTCATCAGATCTTGACAGAACGTCTCTCTGTTTCTTTAATCCACCAGAGCCCTCCTCTGTTCCTGAGCGTGCTACACCATCTCCAGTGTCCCCGGAGGACATCGAGGTGAACGTGTCCTTCCAGCCGGACCCCACAGACCTGGTGCTGTCCAGCGTTCCCGGAGGAGAGCTCTTCAACCCGCGCAAACACCGCTTCTCCGAGGACGAGCTCAAGCCACAGCCCATGATCAAGAAGGCCAAGAAGGTGTTCGTTCCTGAAGACGCCAAGGTGAGCAAAACAACAACTGCTGCTCAAACCTCAAAGCTTCTCATGAGTTTTCTGTTCAACATAAACAAAGAGCATGATTCAATAATAACATCTTAAAGGGACAGTCCACCCAATAAAAACTATTTGCTATATTATTAGGCTAAAGTACAGTTTTATATTAGGCTAAACCTGTAATCATTGACTTCCATAGAATAAAAAACAACTACTGTGGAAATCAATGGTTACAGGTTTCCAGCATTCTTTAAAATATCTTCACTTGTGTTCAACAGAGGAAAGAAACTCATAAAGGTTTGACAAGTAAAGGGAGAGTAAATAGTGACCGAATTTTTATTAGTATTTTTCAAATGTCTATCCATAACAAAAACTATAAACATATATAAATCAGTCCATAAACACTTAAATATTACCGTTAATATGATAGATAATTTAAGCGTGTCACCTTCTGAAGAAACTTCAAATAAAGATCAGCTATTCACTACATCAATTGACTTTTTAAGATGTTTATGATCTTCATATTAATCAACATTAATCACACAGTTTCCTCCATTAAATTAGGTAAATACGAGCAAAGGATGATGAGAAAAATGATTTTTTTTATGCTTTGCTCAAAATATTAACAACAATAACACTTTCACAGCACAGTTTTATCAAAACAAATATATTTGACAAATATGTGACCCACACATATCGGCACTTTTCTGAATTCATATGAGCAAAATAATACAGTTATTCTCATTCATACTTTATATATTTATAAATCACAAACATTGTGACACATTTTCTTTAAATTTGTGGCTAAGAAATAGCTATTAACTTTTTTTTTTTGTAGGGCCAGTGAAAATATTGGCAGGGCAAGTAAAAATCTGAACTATGGTCCGATCAGGCCAGTAGAAAAAATTCTTAACGTTGAACCCTGCTCGTGCTGTCCATTACATTACAAACCACAAGAGGGGGCAAATTCTCCAGCAGGCCAGCGCTCCTGCTCATACTTCAGCCTCCACATCAAAGCTCCTGAAAGCAAAAAGATGGTTTAGCTGCTGCAGGATTGGCCAGTCCAGTCACCAGAGTAAACATTATTGCGTAAATAGCGCATGAACATTTGAGTTTACTCGCTTCATTCGCGTGTCAAATCCGCTTCATTCGCGCGTCAAATTCACTTCAGAACAGACGTGGATTCGCGTGATGGGCAGGGCTTCTGTCTGCCCGGTGACTCTAGCTTCATAGCTAAATGGCTAACATGGATTTTATGAAGAAAATAACAGTGTTTATGTGCTTCATGAAGGATGATAAACAGCGTCGATACGTTTAGGGTCGTGTCTGAGTCCACTACATCCTTTCAGAGGTCCAGCAGCTCTGTGAGCTCATAAACTCCTCCAGAAACTGAACCTGGCTGATGGAGGTTTTCAGCGGTGCTTCTGACTGAGCCCAACCCAGTTTGATGAATTTCTTGTCGGTGTCGGCTGGGAGATTTCCCCTGGGACACCCACAACAGGTGATGCGTCACAATCACGGCCCCACAAGAGCAAGCTTATGATTGGTTAACGCGGCGCGAATGTTTGCTGAAATTCAGATTTTCGAACTCGCGCGAAACGTCAAACGTGCAAAACAATCAATTTGCGCATATCGCGCCATTTGCGCTGCAGGATGTCTTTTCGCACGTTTGCATTTACTTAAAATGTAAATCACTCGCGCTTGACGCGCGTTTCGTGTCTGGTGTGAACGCAGCATCAAATTCAAACCTTACTGTCCTAATGAAATCATTCAAAATCAAGGCATGATCCTATTGTATCGTGGTCAAATAAGCGTCATCTAGAGGCCTTTGCCTTTCATATAAGGCACTTCTGATACCAAATGATCAACTAGAAGTCAACTTATTATTTGCTGTTCCTAAAACTTGGATAATCGACAAGACTTTTGTCAGGTAGTGTAGACTTTAGGAACAGTATTACAGTCTTTTATTACCGTTTTTTTTAAAACCTTGACTTTTCCAAACTGCAGTAAACCTTGAAACTGGTTATCGCCTATGTCTAGATTGTGCAACACTGTGGGACCCCCTTGAAAACAAGATTGTACATCTCAATCCTAATACCAAACATTAAAATGATCATGATTTTTGTTTGTCAGGATGACAAATACTGGTCACGGAGGAAGAAGAACAATGTGGCGGCGAAGCGTTCCCGTGATGCCCGGCGTCTCAAGGAGAACCAGATTGCAGTGCGAGCCTCGTTCCTGGAGCGGGAGAACGCAGCGCTTCGCCAGCAGGTGGCAGAGCTGCGCAAAGACTGCGGCCGCTGCCAGAAGATCATGGCGCTGTACGAGGCCAAGTACGGCTCGCTGTGAGGGACGCACGCACACACACTCAGAGGCGTGTGGACGAGACCAGGCCGACGGTCCAAAAACACACAGCAACACTGACCACAGCATGACCTTTGACCCCTCACACCTCATCCTGACCCCTCCGCGAGGTCGCTGACGGTCGGTCCGGCAGAGTTCAGACTCTTCTCTTCAGCTAGTTTTCAGCGTTTCCTCACACCTCGTTAGCACTCGACACGTTCATTTCGTTTCCGCACCGGAGGTTTGACGCAGAAAACGCGCGCATGAGGCTGAAGCGTGGGAGGAACGGCGCGGGTGTTTTTATTATCGGCTGCTTTTAGGGGATCAGGGACTGTTTCCAATCTTTACTTTGAACTCGAGTGATTCATTATATGAGTCAGTAAATTTACAGATTTTATTTATTTCCAGTATAATGAAGTCTGCGATGCGGCTACGTTTACTTCTGGTGGAAATTAAGTGTAAAGGATTTTGATTTCCCTCTAATTTTGAGTGTTTTTTTTACACTCGATAAATGATTAATACTTGTGTACCGGAGATTCAGCACTAAAAATAAGAGCAGGAGGAAAACGTGAGGCGGACTTGTGATAGAAAAGGTTTCATATGATAAACTGTTTTGAGTCTGTAGTTTTGAACCCAAGTGATTGATTCAGTGCATCTGAGATTTTAGCGTGTTTTATGCCATATAATAAAGTCAGAGATGTGGCTAGATCTGCTTGTGGTAGAAAATAAGTCAAATGGAGAATCTGATGGTGTTTCTGCGAGTCTTTCCGTCTGGTTTTCAGCGTTTCCTCATTGTTTACTCTCGACACATTATTAATTATTAAAAAGATGAGGGGAAATAAAGCAGAGTTATGCTCGAGAACATGTCAGATGTTTGTATAATGAGCTGTTTTAGGGCTTTTAAGGTTTCGAGGGACTGTTATGAATCTTTAGTTTTGAACCCAAATGATTCATGTGAATCAAGGATTTAAACGCCTTTTAGTTGATTTTTACAATATAATAAAATCACTAAAGTTGCTAAATTTGCTTGTGGTGGGAAATTAGTGCAAAGGGGGATAATTTTTGGTAGTCTTTCTTCATTTTAGTGTTTTTAAAACTTTAATTTGAACCCAAATGATTCATGTGAATCAGTTTTTTCCCCTTTGTGTTTTTGAATCTTTAGTTGAACCCAAATTATTCACGTGAATCAGTTTATTTTTTCTCTTTAAGTGTTTTTAAATCTTTAATTTAAACCCAAATGATTAGCGTGAATCAGTTTTCCCCTTTAAGTGTTTTTGAATCTTTAGTTTGAACCCAAATGATTCATGTGAATCAGTTTATTTTCCGCTTTAAGTGTTTTTGAATCTTAAATTTGAACCCAAATGATTCATGTGAATCAGTTTATTTTCCGCATTGTGTTTTTGAATCTTAAATTTGAACCCAAATGATTCATTTGAATCAGTTTATTTTCCCCTTTAAGTGTTTTTGAATCTTAAATTTGAACCCAAATGATTCATGTGAATCAGTTTATTTTCCCCTTTAAGTGTTTTTGAATCTTTAGTTTGAACCCAAATGATTCATCTTGTGAATCAGTAGTTTTTAGCACTTTCAGATTTTTCTTTCCAATATAATCTTGTCACTGATGTGGCGAAATGTGTTTGTGGTGTAAAATAAGGATTCTGCGTTGAATCCGAAAGCGTTTTCGCAGAAGCGTTTTCCTCTCTTTGTTTGCATTCGACACATTGCTAGTGTTCATGTACTGCAGATTTGTCATCAGAAATAAGAGAAACGAGGCAGAATTGTGGTAGAAAACGTTACATATCTTTGTATAATGAGCTGTTTTTAGGCTTTTAAGGTTTCGAGGGACTGTTATGAATCTTTAGCTTTGAATCCGAATGATTCATAATGTGAATCTGGGATTTTTAGAGCTTAAACTGTTTGTTTTTTTTCAATAAAATAAAGTCACAGGTGTGGCAAAAGTTGCATGTGGTGGAACATAAGCATAAAGGACTTTGGTTTTTAATCGTCTTTCCTCCTTTTAAGGATTATAGGGACTGTTACGAATCTTTAGCATTGAATTCAAATGATTCATAATGTGAATCATTGAGTTTAGCATTAGCATTTAGCATTTCCTCCAATAAATTTAGGTCACATAAAGTGGCAACATTTGTGGTGGAAAATAAGCACAAAGGAGTTTGATATTCGCTCATCTTTCCTCCTTTTAGAGTTTCGAGGGACTTTTGTGAGTCTTTAGCTTTCAACCCAAATGATTCATTATGTGAATCAGTGATTTTTAACACTTTAGCTTATTTTTTCCAATAACCATGCTTGTGGTGAAAAAATATGCTTAAAGGATTATAATTTTTGCTCGTCTTTTCTCCTTTTAGTGTTTTTGAATCTTTAGTCTAAACTCAAATGATTCATCTTGTGAATCAGTGAGTTTAGCATTAGCATTTAGCATTTTTCCTCCAATAAAATAGTCACGTAAAGTGGCAAAACATGCTTGTGCTGGAAAGCAAGAGAAAAAGTTTATATTTTCTGCTCGTCTTTCCTTCTTTTAGTGTTTTTGAATCTTTAGTTTTGATTCATCATGTGAATCAGCGAGTTTAGCATTAGCCTTTAGCATTTTTAAGTGCTTCGTTTATATTTTCCACTGCTTATGGAGGAAATTAGGCGTTTATGTACTGGAGGAATCAAGCGCATGTTATGTTGGTGTTTGTATGTAAATAAGCTGGTGTTTGTCGGCGTGTTCTTCCAGAAAGATCTTGCGAATTAATGATGACGACGCGGCTAATATTGTCACGCCGCCGGCAGGGATTTTAACTGTGAGCGATCGATTCATGGACTGGATCTGTTTTAGTTTTCAGGGTTTAATCCAGGGCAATAATATAGCATTCATCTTTACCTCAGATTAGATGCGTCTAACGCGTGTTTCCTTATTTACGATATGAATAGATCTGTGTTAAAGGAGCGGGTAGCGAGGCAGCTCGACGTCAGTCATAAAACACAGCAGAATCACTTTCTGTTGGTTTTATTTGTATTCTTTCCAATAACGTTGCATTGATGATAGTTAATGATAGTAACGATGCATTTGTAGGTAACTGTTGTATTGTGTAATATAAATGTGCTTGGTTTTTTCGACATGCAAACTGGAGTCGAAGACGTTCAGCATCACCTTTATTACTGTTTTTCTTGTTTCCTGGAGTTTTTAAAACTAAAACGTGTCAAAAAGAGACTCGTAAAAAGAGGTCGTAATGTGCTTCCATTTTTATAGATTTGAATATAATATAGCTATCATGGTTTGCGTTCAGTGCTCACACGTTTTACATTTTTTAATATTACAAAATTAACACACAATTTTCAATATAAAATACAAAATTTGCTGCGTTTTAGTAATAATTTTCCACAAGAAATTTTTTTTTTTTTCCGACAAATGTTTCCTAAATTTAGACGTATATGAACAATAAAATAAATCTACAATAATAATAATAGCGACACAATACAATATATTTTCGTCATGATTGCGTTTCTGTAAAACGGGTGTGAAGAGCTTACGGGCAGAACTGTTGTAAATATGCGAGTCGTTACTGCATGCTGTTGTCATGGTGACGCTGTGCAGTGGGCGTGTCCTTCTCTTCCATATTTGGACGTGAGCTCACGTTTGTGGACGTTTCTATTTTTAATTCCCGTCTGATTTCAATCCACGAACCAAACTCTGTCGATCACTGTGTTCAACGTCTACACGACGGACGTTTCTATATTCGTTTTTTTTTTTTAAGGCCTGAATAGTGACGTTGTCCAAATGACGGCCTTTAGTTTTGGGTTTAATCTGAAGTGGTATTAACTCCAGACGTGGAGTTCAGTGCTGGGCTCTGTACAACTCTAATGTAGCATTCATTTTCTTTGTGTGTGTGTGTCTTTAATACGATGTAATTTTAAATATACAAGTGCATTTTTAAATATATATATATATGTTGTTTTGTTTGTTTTTCTAGCAGTGCCGTGTTGTTTTTCTACAGACGCTGGTGTAATGCAGTATGTTCTGACTGTATCTGTGTATTAATAAAGGACAGTATCAGTGATTTGACCTTGCTGAGGCTCTGCGCTCTGATTGGCTGATGACATCATCACGTGTGTGAAACCACTGCAGTGGGATGACACACACACACATCATGTTCTTCACTGCTGTCGTGTGTGTGTGTGCGTGCGTGTGTGCGTGTGTGCGTGTGTGTGTGTGTGTGTGTGTGTGTGTGTGTGTGTGTGTGTGTGTGTGTGTGTGGGTGTGTTCATTATTATTCTCAGTTTGACGTTATGTAACAATCAGCCGAACACTGGAGCGCTGTTATATAACATCTGCTTCACACAGACACACACACACACACACACACTGATCTGAATGTGAATCACCTTCATCCAGACGCTACAAACATCACGTTTCTCAAGGGTGTCTGCAGGTTGCTGAGTGTTAGACTTTTGAAGACCACAAAGAGGTGGCACGGAGGCTCAATGGTTAGCACGGTTGCCTCACAGCAAGAAGGTTGCTGGTTCGAGTCCTGGTTGGGTCATTTCTGTGTGGAGTTTGCATGTTCTTCCCATGTTGGCGTGGGTTTTCTCAGAGTGCTCCGGTTTCCCCCACAGTCCAAACACATGCGCTATAGGGGAATTTGGTAAGCTAAAATTGTAGTGTATGTGAGTGTTTGGGATGCACCTGAAAGGCCATCCACTGCATACATCATATGCTGGATAAGTTGGCGGTTCATTCCGCTGTGGGGACCCCAGATTAATAAATGGACTAAGCCGAAAATGTAACGAATGAAGGCCCTGAAGAATTAAATTTGATCAATTTTATAGTACTGAATCTGCAGAAGTAATCACCTGCCGCAACACTGTTCATTGCATACTGCGCTGCTGCTCAACAGATCTGACTTACTCAAATTGGCCAGATCACTTTCCAAAAATCATCCAATTCCAGTTTGCGCTGCTGGTTTACCATACCCATGGGGGGAAACTGGGTTACATGTCCAAAAAGTATCTCTCACTCATATATATATATATATATATATATATGTGTGTGTGTATGAGCAATTCCAGCGTTGTGGAGACATTTGCAGTAAAAATCTTAAAATAAATTTACGTTGAAAGTTTGTTAACATTGTATTGAAACATCTGTTTATTTTTTGTTCCAAGACAACAGACCACAGAGTTATGGAGTCAAAACAATCAATCTGTAAACATGTTTTATATTTTAAATGATGGAAATAAACATGGATGTGACAATGTGAGCTTACAGTATACAACATATTTGTAAAAATCATGTGAATCAAAAGAGAAGAGTCAGCTCACTATAGAATAAACATGATCGAGTTTATTTAATTCGACATTTTTTAGTATTTAAGAGAAAAAAAGCTCTGTTACGGATGTGACAGATGTGAAATTGGCACTCGTTTGACTTTGAAAACATTGAGACATTTTTAAGTATTTTTAAACTATTACATTTGATTTACCAAAGTATTTTTAAAAATACTTGCTTACACAAACAAAAACAAAAAAAGTAACTGCTTCAATGTTTTGACAATTTTTTTTTTATGGCAAGGTTGACATTTGCACGGAATTGCTCATATATATATATATATATATATATATATATATATATATATATATATATATATATATATATATATATATATATATGAGCAATAACACACTCGTAGCAGTGTGATATGGCTGTATATCAGCACTGGCGGGAGGCGTGCGTTGTGCCTTGGTGCACCCACCAGTGCCGATATACAGCCATATGGCACTGCTACGAGTGTGATATTGCGTTTATACAACAGTTTGACGGCATAATTGTGTATATAAGAACAAAATCAAACATGGAGAGTCTCAAAACTGCTTTTGTATGAGGAACTACTTTCTTCCGCCTTGGATTCAAATCATAAGCTGACAGTTAAACAGCTGAGCAAGCATCTTTTAAACTGTAGATCTGGAGTGTCTGTAGCTTTTTGCTGGCTGTATGTGGGCGGAGTAATACACAAACTGTAAGAGGCTGTAGAAGATCTGATATTGCAGAACATCGCACGGCTATCAGCCAATCAGATTTGAGAACCAGACAGAACTGTTGTATATATATATATATATATATATATATATATATATATATATATAAGGTTGATATTATGCCTATACATTTTTAAGATCATTAAATTTCAAACTTCCTAACACTGAAGCAGAATGGGACAAACACAACCTCTTAAGGCCCAAGGTGTTTTTGTTACCTGCATTTTTTTATTTCTCTTTGCTGTTTGGGCTTATTGGAGCCTTATTAGAATAAAAATGTAAGTGTCATCTTTTGATATGATGTACTTTTAGAGAAAAATGATGTCCATACATGTGGACTTGTGGTCAATTTACATAAAACACTTTTTCCTGACTGTTTTTTTTAAATGCATTATTAGCATAGAATTTTTTTCTTTGTGAATTTGCTTTGACTATCAGAAAGTAAAAGCAAAAATGTTTTCCCCCCCAATTTGTACAGTCAAAGTAGTGTTTGGGTATAAAAATGAAAGTATATGACAGTATAAAAAGCATTCAAAGGAACAATATTCTAACCACGAGCAATACCCATTAAAGATGACCCAGAACTTCTTCCTTCTACAATGGAAAGTGTCTTCAGCAGATGGAAAAAGACTGGTTTAAAGATAATTAATCAACTTTTTGATGGGGAGACCTTATTATCCTTTTCTCAAATATCTAACAGATTTACACTGAAATCTTACAAACCATAAGCAATGGGACATAATTAAAAGATCTTAAACAAACAGAAAAATATTTTATAGATATTACTGAACACGGTCTGCTTACTAAAAGATCATGTAGCCCATTTACATAGAAAATAGATGCAGGATAAATCTGACGACTCTTATTACGTCAAAAGAAATTGGGAATTAGAGTTAAACACTATAATAGAGGATGAAATGTGGGAACAGATATGCTCAAATTGTCACAAGGGTAAAAGCAGTCAAATATGGCAGCAGTTCGACTGGAAGATGAAGATGAGGTTATTGAGTGCCATTAGTGGTCGCCAGATTCAACAGTTCTACACAATTAATCACAATGCTGGAGGGATTGTGGAGAACTGGACTACTGTATGTTCACATACTTTGGGAATGTCCAAAAATACAAGTGTGTTGGCAGGAGGCTAATAGGGAGATTAGGAAAAATTTTAGGATATGACATACCAATGCACCCAGTTTTTATGGCTTCCCCCTGATCAGTTCAGTAAGTCTCACCTATTTGCACTACACATATTATTAATAACAGCTAGGAAAATTACAGTGAACTGGATGAAGACCCGCCAACCTACTTTAACAGAATGGACACAGAGGTTGAAATAGAGATATATATATATATATATAAGAAAATGACTGCAGATTTGCAGCTGAAATCAGACTTTTTCAACAGACCTGGGCATTAACCAAAACATACTTACTTGATCTTTGAAAGGCTGCCAGGGGCTTTGTCTTTGTCATAGTTATTGCCTATATATTGGAGTGTATTTATTTATTTGTTTACCCCCCTTTTTTTTTTTTTTTTTTTTAATAATTTTTTTTATTAATTTATTTATTCTTTAAGCTGTCACTATTATTTATCCATTATAATTTATATCTATTATTATTTTCTTTCTAATTGTTTTCTTTTTTGTGATACTATACAAATAACATTTACTTAGAATGTTTACAATGTTTATAAAAACTTAATAAAAATAAAATCAAAACAAAATAAAAAACAGATCCAAAAAAAAAAAAAAAAAAAAGTTGCAGAATGACACTATGTCTGTAACAAAATATTAAACGGTATTTTAAATAGCCACTTGAGAGCTAAAATATGCTGTCCGCATATTTATCCACCCTAGGAGGATAAAGTTTTCACCATTATGGAAAGTGAATAAATACAATAGAAGACAAATATAAAACAAACTGTGCTTTAAGCATCTTCCCTGTAAAAATTTTACTTGGATTTGTTTCTTATGAGCTACAAAAGTGCTTCGGTCAAGAGCCTCAAGTGATTTTGTCCTTGTCTTTTGTCGTTTAATATTCGTAAAACCTTTTGCTTGGCAGCACTGCTGCTCCATCTTTAAAAATGTGGACGCACCAACCAAAATTTAGTCGCACTCACCAAGAATTATGTGCACCGTCACTACGAGTTTTGTATTAACAGATTTACTGCATTTAAAATCATCCTGGCCATTAAATGAGAGAACAAATAGAACATCTCACACTTTAAATGTGTAGATTCAGTGGCAAACACCATTACCTGAAAACACAGACTTTACAGTGAAAGGCTTTAGGAATCTTATCCACTCTTCGAAGTGTCTCATTATTCAGATGTGTCATTATTTATAACTTTAGGTGGTTTCTAAAGCAAAATCAGTAGTTGTTTTCATTCTTTTATCTTTAGTGCTTTACATTTTCGCGGCTGCAGCTCCCCATCACCTGAAGGCATTGACTGAATGATTAACCGCTGATATTAACCAATCCAGTGGCGTTCAGTTCTAGAGCAGTGGGCCAATCAGAAGAGCTTGAAGGTGGGGGCAAGCATTGCAGGATTTGTTTACTGTACATTCAGTTTTAAACGATTCCTGAGCGCTGCGGTTCACGTATTAAGTGCAAAGATGCATTCTTCGCAAATCTGCGCATCCGGTAAACGTTTCGCAGTGAAAACAGTCCGCACGGCAGCAATTTTATGCACTCGCAAAAGTGCTCCCAAATATATTTTGAGGTCGCATATATAAAACTGAGTGCACATGCAACCAAAACAGTCACAATTACGAGACTATTCCAAAGATTTCTGAAGAGCACCAAAAAAAATTTAGAAATAAAAAAACTGAAGAAACTTGAATGACTTCAAACACCTTCCACTTCTTTGTTAAACAAATTTTATTAGTCATTTCATCTTGCATATATTCATATTCATATAGTTATTTCTGAAAAAATAACCTCAGCACGTAAGAAACTAAACAAAAGATCTCAAACATAAGAAATATATACATGTTCACGTCGTTGTCGTATAGATATCTCTTCATTTGTTTTATAAACGCTGTAGATAACTCTTTTGAAAAAACACGAAAAAATATAGAAAATCGTCGATAAATTACAAACAAATGTAAAAATACACCCATCCGTAGCATATATAGAGATCTAAACCCCACCCACCCCAAATCAAACCACTGAATATTCATGAAGCTGGAGGAACGTCACAACACACTGTAAAGAGTGAAAACAAACATTGTTACACCTAAAATACTTTCCAACTTAAATTAATCACTGAAAAACAGCAAAAATTAAGTTGAAGAAACTTGACGCATGTTGGTGTAACGATTTTAAATTAATTCATTTTTTTTTCTCAGTGTACAGTCTCAGCCACACATCCTAAAGTTCATTTAATACAATCTTTAAACTACATTACGAAGCTATAGTTCAGACATAACTGGCCATTAAAGGGTGGGTAAAGGACCTTTAGCATCTAGCATATGTTGTGAGGCATTCTGGGAGATTCAAAAGGCCTGGTAAATAAAGTGCAGCACAACTGGACGGGACAAAACACAGAGGGGAAAATAGTGATGTCCAACGTCTTTGTATCTTCTCGACTAGCCTCCATCCCAGCACAATAAAACACTGCCACTGCAGTCAGAGAAGATGAGGTAACATTCAGAGTCCTGAAGCGCAGAAAACAAAGTGCAATTCTCACTCTAGCATCTCTTTCGATCCATGATTTATGACCTGTGGATCGTGTAAAACTAACAACGCATTAAATTCAACATGACTCTCCTTGCTGGAAAGCTAATCAGAGTGTCTCTGTAAAGGTCACATGTGCAAAGACATCGAGCAGTTGATAAAAACATCTTATGCCTTCACAGACATGCACAGTCCTCCAATCAATCAATCAGATCTTATTAGTTCAGAGGAACTGGCCGATTGAAAACATACAACATCGATCCTCAGCCTGACTCCTGACGGCACTAGGCATGGGTTTAAACATTGTCTGGTTTCTCCAGAGTTTGGCTCAATGTGTTTATGCTGGTTTAGCTTCAGAATTGTCTTTCCAGTATAAAGCAACCTCTTAATCATTAGCTCGAAAGCACAAGACCCACATTCATTCAGAGAACATGCAATACAATAACCAGAAATCCTCACTGAGGTGTGACCGAACTAGCCCGAAGTGGCTACTTCCAGAGCATTATATATCAAAACAAAACATCCCAAAATCCCTTTTAAGCATCTAGACTAGGGGTGTCCAAACTTGGTCCTGGAGGGCCGGTGTCCAGAAGAGTTTAGCTTCAATATGCTTCAACACACCAGCCAGTTTCTAGTCTATCTAGTAAGAGATTGATTAGATGGATCAGGTGTGTTTGATTACGGTTGGAGCGAAACTCTCCAGGACACTGGCCCTTCAGGACAGAGTTTGGACACCCCTGTACTAGAAACTTCCTGGCTGATGTGTTGAAGCAAGCTGGGGATAAACTTTCCAGGACACCAGTCCTCCAGGACCAAGTTTGGACACCCCTGACCTAGACTCCTGTGAGAATATTTGCTTTTTTCCCCCCATAATATGATTTAAAAAGAACTAATCAAAGCAGACCAACACTTGAGCGAAGGACGCCCCACTCAAGTGACTCATTACTGAAAACAACAAACAGAAAAAAAAGAAAAAAAAAACAACAACTGTGCAACAGGAGGCTGGTTACTCCGAGAGATCGGACATGAGAACTGGAAAGTAACAATCACAGGTAATACTCAATCTGGGGATAATACTCTTGATTAGTCATGGTTGAAATGTTCCAGCATTGGGATCTCTTCAACTCTGAGACTTTAGTTGGGCAAAACCATGGGTTGGAAAGCCTGGCTGGAACACTGAAGGTTGTATCCCAATCCTTCCAAGTGTGGTGGTTTATCCATGAGAGAAATTACACTGTTGCTCCCCTATGCTCCCAATGGCCCTGCTGAAGGTAGACTGAAGAATAGATTGAATTGTATATAGGGTAATTTGTGGATCTCTGCAACTCTGAGCCTTTAGTTGGACAACTCAAGGGGTCGGATGGAAAGCCTGTCTGGAATACTACAAGTTGTACCACAGTCCTTCCACAAATGGTGGTTTTATTCATGAAGGAAATGCTACTACTTTTAACCCAAAGATCTCAATGGCGTGACCTAGAGGTGAACTGGAGATTGGAATTGGGAATTAATTGGGGTAATCTGGGAGCTTTGGTCATTGGTGGGTCTGAAATTTAAATTGACCCACTAGTTGGAAAGCCAGGTCGAAATACTGTATGTTTTATCCCAGTGCTTCCACAAATGGTGGTTTATTCATGAAGGAAACTATCCACTATTGCTTCCAATGATCTCAACAGGCTGGCTTGGAGGATTGATTGAATAGGCTCTGGAATGGGCTCACTGGTGCAGTTTCGGTCATTAGTGGGTCTCTTTAAGACTTTAGTTTGCTGCCACCACCACAGGTTGGAAAACCTGGCTGGAATACTGCAGGTTGTATCCCAGACCTTCCACAAATGGTGGTTTTATTAATTCCACTACTTCTTCCAATGATCCCAACAGCCTGGCTTAGAGGTGAACTGAAGAACAAAAATGTACCTAATGGGGTCATTGATAAGTCTCTGCAGCTTTGCGACTTAAGTTGGCCAACACCACTTGTAGGAAATCCTGGCCAGAATACTGCATGTTGCATCTCACAAATGATGGTTTACCCATGAAGGAAATTCCACTATTTCTTCAAAATATCTTGATAGCCTGGCCTGGACGTGGACTGGAGATTGTATTGAATTGGCTCTAGAACTGGGTCATTGGAGGAACTTCGGTCATTGGTGGGTCTGTGCAACTTTAGGCTTTAGTTCGCCAACACCACAGGTTGGAAAGGCTGGGCGGAATATTGCAGGTTGTATCCCAGTCCTTCCACAAATGGTGATTTGTCCATGAATGAAATTCCACTGTTGCTTCCAATGATTCCGACGGCCTGACCTGGCGGTGGACTGGAGAACGGATCGAAGGAAGAGTGCGGAGCTGGGAATGGGGTCATCGATGGAACTTCAGCATCAAAGTAAAGGAGCCTCTGCGATGCAGGAAACACAAATTCTTTGGCAGTAGGAGACAGTTGGCTTGGGACTGGTCCAGTCAGACAGTGCATGGACAGGGAGAGGGGTTTGTGCTTGACCAGTCCTGGAGGGGAGATGGTGGTGGGGGAGCACGTGATCATCCTCTGCTGGGTTGCTACGATATTAATGCCAGAACTGGAGGAAACTCCAGGGTTTCCACACTTCTTCATCTTTGTGGAGCCAAATTTGGTGGCAGCGAAGCTGGCTGTGGTGAAGGTAATTGGCTGTGGTGTGGGCCTAGAGTTAGATGGAGGATAAACCAAGTTGGGTGGCGAAGGAGTGGAAGTGTTGGAGGAATGAGCGCTGGTGTTGGTGGGAGTGCTGGGAGTGCCATAACCGAACATCCCTGGACAAGATGAGGTAGAAATTGGACTTGGTGAACTGGAGAGCATAACTGGTGACACCTGGCCACCGATAGGTACAAACACCTGAGCTTCTGGGTTAAAGCCCAGACTCTTGACTTCCTCAAACTCTACATCTCCTTTGAGCACAACATCAGCTCTTTCAGCGTCACCTCCTAAACCTGGTGGATCTTCCATGTACAGGACTTTCACCACACCCTTCTCCCCAATCCTGTAGGACACTTCGAAAGGGTCTATCCAAATGCTGAGCTCTGGAGGAACATTGGCATGAACCTCCTCAGTGTCCAGACCACTTCTCCTGGCTGCCAGTTCCACCACAGGGTCCCTGGGAGCCCCCAGATAGAGGCAGCGGAAGGCAGAGCCACGCAGAGGAGCCTCTGGGTACCAGTGACCATCAAACCGGGACACTAGGATTCGCTCCAACTCCTCGCCAAATAGATCCGCCCTCCGCCGTGGGAGCTTGTTGTACAAATAGGACACGATGAAGTTCAACGCAACCTTCACCTCCAGGCGCATGATGAATTTGATTATGTATTAGAAGTTCCTTCAGTGATGCAGGCACCTACAGCCATCCAAACATCTTTTGCAAATATTAAGGTGAAAGTCTTTTAGTCTTAGCCTCTTAGCCTCAATGTTCATTTAAAAGCAAGGGCCTCTGATTTTTTTCTTGGATCGTTGCTCAAAAATTGCTTAAAAGTGATTGTCAGAGACCAATTGATCTTTAAAAATGTTCTGGAATCCCTCAGAATAGACCAGTTGCCTGAATCAGCACTGGCGTAAGCTGGGCAGCTGCTCTTTAAGTTCCAGTATCTTCACAGCATCTGGAAAGACAAAAAAAGACCAGTTAAAACAAATATAAATACTTGTATCACAGAACTGTTGAATGCTTGATATTGATTGGTTTGTGAACAGTCCAAGGTGTGCCATTATTTTAACATAAACACACAAAGTAGTTCCAGCAGGTTGAGCGCATTAAAGCTCCATATCACTCTGCTGAATGATTCGAGTTATTTCACAGCTACAACAGTCAAAAATCACATCAGAACACAACAGAAGGCTTTGGAGGAGATGTGTGAGAAACTAGTGCTACACACAGGACATGTTTGAAGACAAAACCACCTGACAAATAAAGTCTCAAATACAACATCTAAACTGGGAGAAATAGTGTATAAGAAGAATAATGTCAATTTAAAAAAAAATAATAATAAGTCACATATTCCTCACAAATCTCATTGACTGAATGGGCACGTGTGTTTGTTTCAGCAGATGCTGAGGCCAAGGTACCAATCCACGATTATCTTGTTGAAATCCCTCATCTGTCCTGCTGCCTAAAGCACTTAGGATTAAATGTGCTAAGAGAGGAAAAAATGAACACCAAATGTACTCGATCTATTCTACTGACACTAGCTGAAGTGAAAAAAAAAAAGTATGTTGTACACAGATTTTCATACTTTAGATAAAGTGCACACCATTTATATGCTAAAGACATGCACATAAAACTACTGTCATGTTAAAAATAACTTTAAGAAACATTAAATAAAAAAATTAAGAAAGTCAATGTATAGTAATGTAATGATAGATACACCTGAAAGAATATTATTAACTGCAAATCATTTGCACACTGTGTTAAATGATATAAATGACAAACCTCTGTAAAGCCCTGAATTTGGAAGCTTTGTCCTGTGTACTGCCAGTCAAAATGTTTTAATTTATTAAAATGTATGTGATTTATTTCCATAAATTAAAGAAAACAAATTGTATATTTTGTGAAAGACAGTGTTCATTTCCAAAAATATTTAAGGGGGGGGGGGGGGTGTAAAATAGTACACTCTTTCTGCCAGATGCCAAACTTGCCATCTTTGGATGATGTAGTGACGAGTGTTTCCCAAAACGCATAGTTTCTCTGTTGCAGATCCATTGCTTGAAACACGTTAGTTATAACGCAAAAAGCCCATAATGATGCTCTAAACGAGGCGGAGGAACTACTTCTTTATAGAAGAACCCCATCATTTCTTTGTGCAAATGATATTGTTTTACACAAACACGCATTTAAATAAAATCCAATATTAGTTTTGGTAAAAACCTGCACTCGCTTTCCGTATTAACTGAATTATATGTAAATGCCACAGAGTTTCCTTTACAAATATTATTGACAACATATCCTATTCTAAAACAAATCACTTACAAAAGCTAACACCTATTCTAATATCATATATAAATCATATGCATAAATAAATAATGAGGTGATTTATTATAAAATGAAATGTAATATTTATTGTGTATTAGGAAATTTAAAAAATCCTACTTTAATAATAATATTAATAATATGATGGTCATGAGGATGATAATAATAATTATAATTTTTATTATTATGCATTAGAAATGAAAAAAAAAATCACAATTTAATAATAATATTAATGATGATAAGGATGATTATTATTATTATTATTACTACTATTATTATTATTATTAATAATAATAATAATAATAATAATAATAATAATAATATTAAGTAGGGTATAGTTGTTTTTTTTTTTTTTTTTTTCAAAAGTTGTAAAAGTCTACTTTTACAATTTGACACTTGTAAACCACAGCAGAATATTCTACCCAGCAGGCCCATGTCATATTCAGTACAGATGCTTAATAAATAACCCACTATAAATTAAAAGAATTAACGTTTGCTTTTTGTTTTCACAGGCTTTGGTAACATAAATTCTGCTTTTAAATAATAGGCCACCTATAGCTTTCACTTAAGCCTGTGTTCAAAATGACATCAATGTTTTTAAAGTGCACTGCGAAGGGAGCACAGTTGTAAACATGAAGATCGCTAAAACTGAACTGTAAAAATAGTTAAAGCAAATTACACCTAAGAGAGATGAGCTTAATGCTTTTTTACTTTTCATAATTCCAACTTTGAATGTAGGAATGTTCTAAATGAATAGGGCATAGGGGGGATAACTAAGAATAGAACACAGCCAGGAGTTATGTTTCTAACTACAGCTCCTGAGGTGTGGTTGCGAGTGCTCAAGTTTGCAACACAGTTTGCAAATGTTCGTTGGAGCGACGAATTTGGGAGACGGCAAATCAACAAACTATGCTTGTAATGATGGAACTTGCGACCTTAGTTGGCTAATGATGGTTTTGGGAAACGCACCCCAGAACTGGATTTCTGATATGATGTCTGTTATGCAAATGGATAGACTCAGATATTTATGGACTAGCTCCACGAGAAACATTTTGGCTACTTGGGGTCAATTTCTTGATTTGTTTGACAAATCAACATCTTAAGAACAATCCAGTGACCCCTCTGAGGTTCAAGCTATACACCCTCTTTAGTTTTGATTGTACGTTTTGTGACTATGATTTTTTTTTCTTCTTTTACATTACTTTTGTTTGTCTAAAGTACGAGCCAATGTTTGCTCTTGTTCTATATATATATATATATATATATATATATATATATATATATATATATATATATATATATATATATATATATGTATGTATGTGTGTGTATATATGTGTGTGTGTGTATATATATATGTGTGTGTGTGTGTGTGTGTGTGTGTGTGTGTGTATATATGAGCAATTTCGTGCAAATGTCAACCTTGCCATGAAAAAGATTTTCGTTTTTACCAAAATATGGAAACATATGGAAACACAAATATTTCTGGGTTTTTTGTTTAACCAAGTATTTTACAGTATTTTAAAAATACTCAAAAATGCATCTGTCAATGTTTTCAAACTATTCTATTTGATTTACCAAAGTCACACAAATGGTAATTTCATAATTTCACATGCGTCACATCCATAACAGAGAGATGTCACATCCATAACGACCCTTTTTCCTCAGAAATGTGAAAATATTAAATAAAATAAAACCAAGCAACTTTGTTTTATAGTGAGCCGACTCTAATCCTTTTGATTAGCATTATTTCTTTTGGGTTGTGCAGTTTAATTCACATAATTTCTACAAAGTGTGTTGTATACTGTAAACTCGCAAACTTTTTTTGTCACATCCATAACGCAAGCTTATTTTCCTCATTTAAAGTACAAAACACGTTTACAGATTGATATTTTTCTGCTCCCATAACTCTGTGGCTAGTTGCTCTAGAAAATATAATTAAATTTTTCAATATAATGTTAACATTTACTTTCTCTGTCAATTTATGTGTTGAGTTTTTACTGCAAATGTCACATCCATAACGCTGGAATTGCTCATTCATATATATATATATATATATATATATATATATATATATATATATATATATATATATATATATATATATATATATATATATAATATTATTAAAATAATAAAATAAAGTAATTAAAAAAACAACAACTTTAAAACACTTTTAACATCAGATTTTGGGTGGACAAAGTTTTGGATGCCCTGAATTTGGTACAAGAATACTGGTGAACTTAATTATCTACTAGTCTGTTATACTCGTTATTTTAATTAGACTGAAAGGGTCTTAAGGAAAAGTCTCGATCTCAAATAACCTGCATATTTGTGATTTAAAGAATGATTAATAGTAGTAAATACACCTCTTCTCAGCATGTCTGCAAAATGACATCTGCTGCCACAAAACAATAGTAACCAGGCGTTCATCCTTACTAAAGAGCTGATAAAATGGTGCTGTATAAGCGCGTTGAAAAACTGCAACTCCCAGCATGCAGCACGCCAGGGTGTTTGACGTCATCAGCACGCGTGTGAATGTTGATGTGACGCCCCCGCATCTTCAAAACACTGATAAGCTCGGTTAAAGCACTTTTAACAATTATATTGATTACAAACACCGCACTCGACATGTTTCTGCTTAAAACAGATCCTCGAGGAGTTTCAGCACAGATGACAACGGTCACACTGTCGGTAAATGTTATTAAAACGGTTGTTTTATTCAGTAACGCGCTCATAAACTGGCTCAGAAATAATAATAATAATAACAACAGCACTTTTAATAAATTAATCAGTCATTAACGAATTTAAAACACGATTTCAAAGCAAAAATTAGACAATTTTATTCTAGTTTAAACATTTATACTTAACCCGTGAATAGCGATGTTGTCTATAATAACTATTACACCTCTAATATCCCCTTGATATGGGCAGCTGCCACATTTAACGTGTTTACATTTACATTTGATATGATTCACTAAACCAATCTCGTGTCGACTTCAAACACTGATATCGTGCATTCAATGTCACTCAATGTCAAAGTTTATCAAAACAACCGCGAGAACGCGCCTGACAGGGGACAAACATGTTAATTAATTGCAGCAAACCAACTCATTCAGCAGACTGCCTGATTGTTCACACTCCTTAAAGAGCAAAATCACACACACTCACCACATATTTAGTAGATTCACAACATGTAAACTAAATCAGCTTCATAATCAGCTTATAATCACTCAGAATATAATGAATCGCCCGCCTTTATCTCGATCAGCTTCAATTATTAGTAACGGTGCTCCTGGAAACATCATCACGTGACCCAAACACTATCAGTGATGAGTGTTACATGACAACACAAACACAACTGATCAGCAAGTATGTGTGTGTGTGCGTGTGTGTGTTGGGGACTCCCTTGTAAAAAGGTTTTTCAACATGCAATCTAATATCTCAAGCAACAATTAAAACAAGAGGATCAATAACACCAATATGCATGATAAATTGCAGATATGTTGCACTTTTTCTGGACGATTCACAAAATGTCTAAAGCACAGAGTGTTCCTCGAGTAACTCCAGACATGAGCTTATAACTGTGCAGCAGCTCGGTTTACACACCGACAGCAGATATAATAATCAGCTTTTGCAAACATTTGGCCTGTTTGCGAGCCAAGGGCATCTGTGCGAACACATTTACCCCGAATTAAAACGCCAACACAGTGATTCAGCATGCTAATGCTCCATATATTATTAAACAGCTTCACATTATTGTATTATTTTATATTTGTTTTCTCTTCAAACACTCTAAAATGGACGACAGCTGACCAGTTTAAATATATAAACAACAATTATTAATGTGTTCATGCAGGACGCGTTCATCAAATGAATGTGGTTAATGTAATATGCATATAAATAATGTAAAATAAATACTCACAGATGCTAATGTTGTGTTTTTATCCTGTTTTTACGGTTTCCAGGTGAGTATCAGCAGTTTTGCGTGCTTGTGGCGTTTGGGAAGTCCTTCACGGAGAGCCGCTGCGGTGTGTTGCGTTTGACTGAAACGCACTTCACTCGCGATTTTATTTGTGTTTATTAGTTTATAATTCAGTGTTTAATTGGCGGCGTCCCCCGCTCCCGCACGCGCCCGTGGAAACTTCTGTGTTTGACAGGCTCGCGCATTTATATCGCGACGCGCGCGTGCTCCGCCCTCCACCGTGACGCGTTTTTTTCTTGCCGGATCTACTTTCTGATTAGATCTTGCGCATTAATTCAACACACCCAGAGCATATATTGAAGTGAAATTAGCTAAACTTCACAAACAAGCTTTATTGGCGTGGATGATGGTATTTAAGCACAAATTCTTCCCAAACATGTATATTATTTGGATTAATAGATATATTTAATATAAAAACAAATTTCTTTTCTTCCAAAAGTGGCATGAAAACGATATTGTTAGACAACTTCTAAATTTAAATGGTCATTTATTATCTTACAGTGGATTATTAGATGACTTTGGTTTTCTGATTACTGTAAAGGAATATGCTGTTGTATTTGACTTTATTTTATGAGTATGGAAATGCGTCTTTAGAAGGAAAATATTCATTTTCTTTTCGGCTTATTCCCTTTATTAATCAGGGGTCGCTACAGCAGAATGAACCACCAACTTCTCCAGCACATTTTTAAAATGCAGATGCCCTTCCAGCTCAACCCATCACTGGGAAGCATCCATACACATTCATTCACACACTATGAACTATTCAGCTTACCCAATTCCCCTATAGCGCATGTGTTTGGACTGTGGGGGAAATCGGAGCACCCGGAGGAAACCCACACCAACATGAGGAAAACATGCAAACTCCACACAGAAATCCCAACTGACCCAGCTGAGGCTCGAACTAGCGACCTTCTGCTTGCTGTGAGGCAAAAGTGCCACCCACTGCGCCACTGTGCAGCCCCAGAAAGAAAATATGTTAAAGAAAACCTTTTTTAGGAGACCTAAATATCATTAAACAAAGTTATAGTTATACATATATTAGAAATATTATAACAGGTGGAACCGATATATATATATATATATATAAACTGAAAATGGACCGATGTATTTATGAATATTAATTGGACAAAAGCTAAATATATGTTTAAATAATATAGTAAAAGAAGTTGCATTCACAATTGTACACTTTTTATATCATGTTAAAGAGGTTTTAGAGAGATTTATTTGGATATTCATTATTCCAGTAATTTTTGTTTCATGGAAAATAATCTATTAATCTAATAATCGATTGTCTGTCTGTTTTGTGATTGTGTATACACAAGGATTTTTTGGGTGGATATGAGAAATTTTCTTGAACATTACTACATTTTATTTGTTTAAATTCAGCCCATATAAATTGTTTGCAACCACTTTAAAAGCCACTTAAAATAATTTAGTAAATCTAATTAATAAAGTTTTCAGTGAATGTGGTGGCTATTCTTCCTCGGTTCCAACAAATAAAATGACAAATTTACATCAAAACATCAACAAAACCAATACAAAACAAACTCACAGTAAAATAAAACAACAGAAACAAATGCCAAAAACAGGACAAATTTGCACTAAACCACAACAATATTCACCAATACCCAATCTAAACAACGCCAAATTTACATTAAACCAAACCAATATTCACCAATACCCAATCTAAACAACGCCAAATTTACATTAAAACGTAATTGTATAAACAACAATTAATCATAGAATTTAGAGTTTAATAAAGCCTACCTAAAGCATACAATAACTCAACACTGCTCCATTAAGTGTTACTTTAATCGTTTTTAACCTCATTTTACTTATTAAACACACCAAGCTGGCATAAAGTTCACCTTTTTTAACGAATGTCAACACTTAAAGACGTTTTGGGGAGACTTATTTGTTTACTGTCCAAGAAAATGTGATTTTATTGATAACTTTACCTCAAAATAATATTTTAATTGATTTTGACTCAAAAAGTGTGGCTAATCTGAGGAGTTTATAATGAATCTTATGATTTAGTTTGGTAAATTTCATATAGATAACTATAGAATGAATGATTATAAACCTTATATAAAGATTTGTTCTTATTTAATTGATTTTCATTTATATATGGACTTTCTTCAGAGTATGAATAGTAAAAAATGTTAAGATGCAATTAAAGTAGTAATTAATTAAAATGAATAGTGAACTTGCTGACTAAAGGATATATAATTATACTGACAATGTGAAAGTATCTATTAAAGTCTATTATATTAAAGATTTTACATGAATAAAGCAGTGCTTAGTTCAGTTTATCTATCGTAATGTATGTTTTATCTGGTTAATTACCATTAATTTGACAGATTTTAAATGTTTATTTATGTTAATGAACATACATTGTTTTGCAAAATCAGCCAGTTCGTGTTTATTTTCCGTCGACTCTAATTAATTTGGCGAAATGATGTTTCCATATGCGAGGCTGTGCTGCGGACAGCTAAAAATAAAGGATGGCATAGCAACAAAGCGGCGATTGGCAGAGGGACGCGAGGAGCAGCTGGCCATTGGTCGAGGGCAGCGTCCACTCAGAAGACTGCGTAGTGACGTATGCGCAGCGTGTAGCAATGCATGATGGGAATTGGAGTTTTCAAAAAACGCACTGGAATAAAAGTTAAAGCTAATTAGATCCCTTTTTGTACACATATATCTAACATTTTAATGATTTAATTATTTGTTTGTTTCTTAGATACTTGTTTCTTTCTTTACCGACACATATTTGTTTATTCATTCATTTCACTTAAGTAGACATTTATTTTATAAGTTGATTTTTTATAAGTACCACCATTGTGTACATTTATATAAGTTACACATTTTTATTGCAAAAACCTCGTATGAATCTCGTTAAATTGTTAATAAAATATAAAGTTATTTATATATATATATAGTTATAAATAGTTATAAAATAAATAGTTTATACATTATAATTCTGTTTTAAATGAAAACAATTAAATGTAACATGATGTTATCCGATTATTATTCTTATGTTTTGCCTGTAAAACTAAATTTTTGCATATTTATTCCTTTTGAAATATGATTCCGTTTTGAAGATTAGACATTGAAATGCTTTAATACAATATGTGTAACTTTTTACAATTTATTTTGAGGTATATTAATTATTATTTGTAGTAGCGAAATTATATGCAAATAATGAGTGGAAAAGAAGGTCAGCCATTGGTCATAAAAGTTAAACAAGTAATTTTAACCATCTCATAATTTCACTACATCCAGTCCCACAACTTTTTAACTAATTATGTTGTCAAAACATTTACATGCTTCAACATTTTACTATAATATCTGTTTTAAAACCGTCATTTCAATTGCTCTTATATGCAGGTTCTGCGCTAAACTAAGTGTCTAAACATTTACACAGTGTCTGACATACTGAAGTGTTGATGTTAATAAATCTTTACTCAGTCTCCTCTTTGCATTAACTCAAGTTTTGTGCAAACCTGCAGAAATATTCAGCAACAGCAGCAGCTTTCAGTGCAGATCTTCTATTTACGGCATATTCGTATCTGAAAGGGGAAACTAACTGTGTAAACATGAGTATCAGACAAAAGAAGAGTGCAGAAAGTGTGTTTAATATAGTTAATAATCATCAGAACAGTGTCAACGTTTAAACCTGAATGAGATTCTGACAGTAATATATTTCATCACCTTTGAATTATAAGGTTAGGCTCTATCTGTGTTCTGAATGATTTTGAGATATTGAGCTTCAAAGATTTAGCATTCCATAGCAAACAGTGTGTGTTTAATATTGGTTTGTTTTTTTTTTAAATAGAAAGTCTTAAAATGTAAACAACTTATAAAAACATCCCATAATGTAAATAAGCTGTTAATAACTAAATTTTGACAAAAAAAATGTCAGACAGAACCTAATATTTCTAAGATGACAATTTGTATTTGTTTTAATCTTAAGATATAAACTCGTTTGTTAAAAATCCACAGTGTCTTGATTACTATCTGAAAAATGTTAGAAATACATTTTTTTAAAGAAAAATAATAAATAAATGCAGTTAATATCTATTTATTAGCTTTTTATCATGTTTTTACCTAGTTGCCTTATGAGTCCATTGAACTGATTTAAAACTGATTTAAAACAGCTTGTGTAACTCAAAACCAAGGTAGAACATGAGTAACTTAGATTATTAAGTTACAGTGAATTAAAACATGTGCTGTCATGACTAATTGTTCATATATAATGTTTTACAGTGTGTCTTTTTATAATCAGGTTTTCAGTCTGAGGGTAGAGATTATATAACATAAGAGTTTTTTTTTTTCTATGTGTGGATTTGTACTAACGTTTGGGAACAAACGTTTACAAGAATAAAAATATAAAGAATAAATGATTAATTACTAATTAAGAGTCCTGCAATCAGTTAAAGTGTTACTAAAGACTTCAGTGGGCTATATCCTATATTGCAGGGGTGTCAAACTCAATTCCTGGAGGGCCGAAGCCCTGCACAGTTTCGTTCCAACCTTGCTCCAACACACTTACCTGTAGGTTTCAAACAAGCCTGAAGGACTCAATTAGTTTGATCAGGTGTGTTTAATTAGGGTTGGAACTAAACTGTGCAGAGCTGCGGCCCTTTTGGAACTGAGTTTGACACCTGTGCTATATAGTGTTTCGTGTTTGGAAAATAAAAGTAAATATTTCATGACAACAAACACGAACAAAACGAAATATTTATAGGATAATATAATAATAATTCTATTTATCACAAGACTATTTATGTAATAAACATAAATACACCTAAAACATTTAACGTTACATAAACACGATTAAAGAGGAAATAACGTTACTTATAATTAACAGTTACCGTAACATTCCAAACGTCAGTCGCTTTTCTTGTTTTTACGTCCTCCCTGATCTTAGAGTAAAATAAGGCTTCGATCTGAACATTTTTGTTGGTAAACTACTGATTCATTACTTTTACATTTAGTAAATAAAAGCAACGAGCGCTGTTTTGAAAGCTTCCAGTGACGTCTCTGCCGAAAAGCGTCCGCCGCTGTCGTGATTCTGCACATGTGTGGCTGTTGTCATCCTGCGCGCTCGGATCATGAGTGATTATTCTTATAGATGATTATTGTGAATGAGTGAACTGATCGGGATCGCTATCTGGGAGGTGAAACTGTGAGGATCTCCGGCAGAGTATGAGCGGCTGAGAGTGAAGCTGCAGCGGTCTGAGGTTCTGTGGAGGACCCGCGTGTGTGGAGCTGATCTGCGGCCGCTGCTCGGGATGTTTGTGCTGGTGGAGATGCGGGACACGGTGCGGATTCCGCCCTGGAGCTTCCAGAGGCCGCTGAATGAAGCCGTAGCGGAGGAGCTCAACAAGAAACTGGCCAACAAGGTGTGAAGAAGACGTGTCTTTCTGTCTGTCTGTCTGTCTGTCTGTCTATCTATCTATCTATCTGTCTGTCTGTCTATCTGTCTATGTCTGTCTGTCTGTCTGTCTGTCTGTCTGTCTGTCTGTCTGTCTATCTATCTATCTATCTATCTATCTATCTATCTATCTATCTATCTATCTATCTATCTATCTGTCTATTTGTCTGTCTGTATGCCTGTCTGTCTGTCTATCTATCTATCTATCTATCTATCTATCTATCTATCTATCTATCTATCTGTCTATCTATCTGTCTATCTATCTGTCTGTCTGTCTGTCTGTCTGTCTGTCTGTCTGTCTGTCTGTCTGTCTATCTATCTATCTATCTATCTATCTATCTATCTATCTATCTATCTATCTGTCTATTTGTCTGTCTGTATGCCTGTCTGTCTATCTATCTATCTATCTATCTATCTATCTATCTATCTATCTATCTATCTATCTATCTATCTATCTATCTATCTATCTATCTGTCTATCTATCTGTCTATCTGTCTGTCTGTCTATTTGTCTGTCTGTCTGTCTGTCTGTCTGTCTGTCTGTCTGTCTGTCTGTCTATCTATCTATCTATCTATCTATCTATCTATCTATCTATCTATCTATCTATCTATCTGTCTGTATGTCTGTCTATTTTTCTGTCTGTCTGTCTGTCTATCTATCTATCTATCTATCTGTCTGTCTGTCTGTCTGTCTGTCTGTCTGTCTGTCTGTCTGTCTATCTATATCTGTCTGTCTGTCTGTCTATTTGTCTGTCTGTCTGTCTGTCTATCTGTCTGTCTGTCTGTCTGTCTGTCTATCTATCTGTCTATCTGTCTGTCTATTTGTCTGTCTGTCTGTCTGTCTGTCTGTCTATCTATCTATCTATCTATCTATCTGTCTGTCTGTCTGTCTGTATGCCTATCTATCTATCTATCTATCTATCTATCTATCTATCTATCTATCTATCTATCTATCTATCTATCTATCTATCTGTCTGTCTGTCTGTCTGTCTGTCTGTATGCCTATCTATCTATCTATCTATCTATCTATCTATCTATCTATCTATCTATCTATCTATCTATCTATCTATCTATCTATCTATCTATCTATCTATGTCTATATATTGATATATTGACTAGATATTCTTTAAGATACTAGTATTCAGCCTAAAGTGACATTTAAAGGCTTAACTAGGGTAATTATTGTGTTAACTAGGCAAGTCATTGGCCTATAGTGGTTTGTCCTGTAGACGACTGAAGCATGAAAAAGAAATCACATTATTTTAAGGCATACTTTTGGCACATTAAAGCATTTGAGAATTATTAATTCAGTTTTATCTAACACATTTTATTTCTGTTTATTAACTGCTGAACAACTTCTATTAGCAAGTGTTCATTTGCCAACAACATCAAACAATATTTGCAGACAATTTGTGAGTTAGAGGATGTACATTTAAATATGACCAACAGCAAAAACAAAACAACAAGTCACTAAAAATACACAAAAAGCCAGACACAAGTACCTGAATAGAGGAGAAAAAGCAGTATAATACATTTAAAACATACTCCTCAAAAACTCAGATGATTATATTCAAGGGTCGTGCCGAACTGAGTCTGGTTCTCTCAAGGTTTTTTTTCTTCACTCCTATCAGGTGAAGTTTTTTTCCCTCTCCGCTGTCGCCTCTGGCTCGCATGGTTCAGGATTGGTAGAGCTACGCATCGATGAATTTGCTCTTCAGTGTTTGAACTCTCAGTAATGATTAAATCACACTGAACTGAGCTAAACTGAACTGAACTGAACTTAAACACTAAAAACTGAACTGCACTGTTCCAGTTACTATGACCATTTATGTGAAGCTGCTTTGACACAATCTACATTGTAAAAGCGCTATACAAATAAAGCTGAATTGAATTATATTCTGCTATTCATGTTTGAGACTTTCAAACTGTGATAAATGTGGAAAAGCACTTCATTAAGACATGTAAGGCAATATTTTCTCCACATCATTATATGATCATTAACGCACTCCTCCTGTATAATGCGTCTGCAGGTGGTGTATAACGTGGGTTTGTGCATCTGTCTGTACGACATCACTAAACTGGAGGATTCCTACATCTTTCCTGGAGACGGAGCGTCTCACACTAAAGGTACTGAACTCACAGACATTCGTTTACTGATTTCTCTCATAGCTCATTAGTGCTGCTCTACAATAACACTTCTGAACTACTAGCAGGCAGCAAACAAACAAACGTAATTATTATTGAATTAAAAAAAGGAGACAAGATACTCATTGACCCATGTAGAATATTTTTCTGAAATAGAATCATTAATGTTACCCTGTACTATTCATTTAGTGCGAAGGGGAGGACAATTATCTGTTATACTCTGTATATTATATAGTATATTACTCTGTAAATATATATATATATATATATATATATATATATATGAGCAATATCACACGAGTAGCAGTGCGATATGGCTGTATATCAGCACTGGTGGGAGGCATGCGTTGGCACCAGGCCGTAGGCTGAGCGCCTTAGCGTCCCACCAGTGGTGATATACAGCCATATCGCACTGCTACTCATGTGATATTGCGTTTATACAACAGTTCAACATCACAATCATGTATATAAATAAGAAAATCAAACACGGAGAGTCTAAAAAACCCTTTTTTATTAGGAACTACTTTCTTCCGCCATTCATTCACATCTGCAGCTGACGTCAGAACAGCAGAAGCATTTACTAATTCACCAACGTCACTTCAGAGCTAGTGCTTGACTGACTCTCTGTCTAAAGTGATGACAAAACTGCTGATTTTGCTCACACTTTAAGATTATAAGGCTGAACATGACATGAAATGCCATCCATCTTCAGAGATTTCTTCTTACAGTCTACAGTATTTCTCTGTTGCTGGGATTTCACAATAATTAACCCCGAAAATAACAACAAATCCACTACTAACGTTACCAGACTGCTGTTGTGTTTGCGATAAGGAAAAACGCTAAGCACATGCGGACTTTGCTTATTTCAATCTGCCAACACACACATTCCTGATATGCGAGCAAATCAGTATAAATACAGCACTACAACATACAAAAAGCCAACATGTCTAAACCAGCCAATTTACCCTTGCCCCACCTCACCCCCCATGTTTCTGCATCTACAAGTGCACGAGTGAGCTCTGCAATCGGAATATCGCAAAATGTGTAGCAAGAGTCAGAGTGCAGGATTTGTACTTGAACTGGCAAATCTGAGAGGTTGTGAGTGCCGACTTGTGGTTCTAGAGTGAAACTGCAGTCAAATTTGCCGTCCACATTTGAGTCTGTCGTGTTGTATTTGTGAATGACATTTTTCAGATACACCACTATTAAGGCTGATTTATACTTCTGCGTCAAATACCGGCGTATGCTACGGCGCTGACGCATAGCCCTTCGCCGTCGCTGACATGCACCTCTCAAAAAATGTAACTACACGTCGCAACGACGTGTAGCGTAAGCTTTGTGATTGGTCGGCTTGGTATCGCTGACAAGTCTAGGCGGGACCGAGAGCCACGCGAATGGTGCTAGCCTGATGGAGCGATTGTTTACAAGTGTGGAGTCCCGTGAAGGAGCTCCGGATGGAAAGTTTTGTTTTGTGTTTACCTCATAGTTAAAGTTGTTGCACGTCCGCCGGTTCCTGCCTCAAAATGAGCGAGTTTGAGTCACTTGTACATCCCGGAAGTGTTCAGGAAAAGCAAAAAAGCAGCGAAGAAACTCGACACAGAGGAACATTTACACCTCGCTGGCCACTAGCGTTTCGGAAGTGTTAATGCAGACCGACAGAGACAGCGTGCAGAAGAATAAATGCACAGCCACGCGCGTTGCATGCGCCGTGAGTTACGCCGGTCACCTGACGCAGAAGTATAAACCAGGCTTCAATCTGCAACTTCAAATTCTAAACACAGTTGTGTTGTTAGTTTTCTGTGTGTGCAAATTGAGAGATTCAACTGTTCACACCAGAGCTGAGTGAACATTTCTGTCTGGCATCAGCTTGGCGTATCCCGGCTCTGACAAAAAACTTTAGTCTGATACTGATTCCTATACTGATGTTGATCAATTGCATACAGCACTAGCACTAGTCCTAAGCCGATCCCTCCCCTCTCTGTGCTCCCCATGCTCTCCTGTCAATACTTTCTACTGTTTTCTACTGTTGTCTAATGTTTTGTGCTTTATATGAATTATTGAATCATATTTATTGAATTATATGCCCCATGAATTAAATAAAGTATTTGCCCTTCAAGGCTTGATATTAAATTTAAAGACTTTTTTAAGAAACATAATATGACCAAATGATTTTAATAAACACTGAAAAGTGTTTTCCTGACTATATGTAAACAAATAAATATAGTTCCCATTTAATACAGACATTTTTTTAATATATATATATTTTTTCAACAATGTAAAATGTAACATTTCATCTCAATGTTGGCTATGCGGTGGTGCAGTGGGTAGCATGATTGCCTCACAGCTAGAAAGGCACTGGTTCAAGCCTTGGCTTGATCAGTTGGCATTTCTGTGTGGAGTTTGCAGGTTCTCCCCATGTTTGCGTGGGTTTCCTTCAAGTGCTCTGGTTTCCCCAAAAGTCCAAAAGACATGAGGTACAGGTAATTGAGACAGCTAATATTGACCATAGAGTATGGGTGTTTCCCAGTGATAAGTTGCAGCTGGAAGGGCATCTGCTGCATAAAACATATGCTGGATAGGTTGGCGGTTGATTCCGCTGTGGCGACACCGGATTAATAAAGGGACTAAGACGAGGCGAAAATGAATGATTGAATGAATCTCAATGTCAAGAAATGGTTTTAAATCATCACATTTACACACATCTCAATTTTGTGTGGGGCGGCAATATTAAGTTGACTGATTTTGTGTGATTTTGTCTTTCTGGTGTTTCCCACTGTCAATAGAGCAGTCCGGCAAATGACAAAAAAAGCTGATCCTAATTGGTCCTCGTGCGTGCATTAAGATGCTGATTGGCTCACAGATAGAACCTCATAGAGCCAAGCTAAAGTGCCATTTTTTAGATAAAAACCTTTTTGTTTTTTAAATAAAAAGTCTTTAAATGTAAAACAACTTATAAAAAAACATCACATAATGTAAATAAGGGGTCATTTAATAAGAATATGTGAATAACTCAAATTTGACAAAAATGTCAGATAGAACCTTATAATTGTAAGGTGACGAGATGTCTGTGGCAGATATATCAGTGCACCATATACCTCATCTGCTGCTCTCTCTCTCTCTCTCTCTGTAGTTCACTTCAGATATGTGGTGTTTCATCCGTTCCTGGACGAGATCTTGCTGGGGAAGATCAAAGGCTGCAGTGCAGAGGGAGTCCATGGTAAGAGACATGCACACACACAGAGAGAGAGAGAGATGCAAACGCACAAATAATGCCATATTTATTAATAATGTCACAACACATGATGCTTTAGCATAACATGCTTTCTATAATTAAAGTAGAGAAACGATTAATGAAGTTCGTGCATGTGAAATTAAAGGTGCAGTAGGTGATCTTCCACAATGCTAACAGCTTAGCAATAAATCTCTGAATCACAGTCCCTCCCCTGCCGTTCAGAGCCACGCCTTCTTAAACACGAGCACCTGTACCTTTAAGATGACAGCAGAAGATCCCTCTCTCATGTGTTAAAAGCTACTAGTGCTTGTCTGGCGGTGTGCAAGCCAAACTGACATGCTATTTCAGAGTGAATATTAGAGTTGCATGGTAAACAATATAGGGAGAGACTAGGCGGAAAAGCGCTATTTACTTGTGTTTTGTTGTTAAACTAATTAAAATCTACGTTATCGATGCTGTAAAAGGCCCCTTATGAAACTGAAAGTAGTCTTATCAATCTTCCATCGGAAGATTTAAGTAACAATTTTAGTTTTCATTTGTAACAACATCTAACGCTACATCAGCTTTGCATGAAGCTAAAATAGTTTTAAAATAGAAACATCACCTGTCTAAGAGAAATCCTTCAGACATTAGCCCCTTTCACACATACATTGCCGGTAATTTTCCGGAAAGGTGTGTGTGTGAACAGGCCCTTTTTGAAAATACCGGTAAATTCGTTCTGGCTATTTTCCGGTAAGAGAAGTTGTAACATTACCGGCAATTTGCTGGAATGCTGCGCTGTGTGAAGGCAGAAGGAAGATTGCCAGAAGAGTGCGTCCACGTCTAGAACGTGCTGACGTTAGACGTCTACTTTAGCCAATCAGAACAGTCAGACGCATTCACGTGCGCGCAGTTTATGAGAATAAAAGCCTTTGAATATTTTTCCAGACACATTTAGCTGCTAGATGTTAGTCAGATCACGTTTCTATGTTCCTTCTTAATGCCAACTGTGTAAATAATTATCGATAAAATGTTTATGATAATCTGTTGTTTGTTTATGCACATATCATGAACATCTCGACATGCGAAAGTGTTTCTCTATATGTTTTCATTGGAGTTGTACTCAATACTGATCCGTCCGAAGAGTTTGTGATGTAGTCAAATGTTTACAAACACAAGCGCAGCCGTTTACAGCTCATTTCTGGTTAATGATGTCAGAATTTACCGGTATTTTGCGATGGATGTGTGAATGCTCTTTTCCGGAAAATTTCCGTAACGTCCTCGCCTGTGTGAACAGCGATTTTTTGAATATACCGATAAAGTCGTTCCGGAAATTTTCCGGATATTTACCGGTATCGCTGTGTGAAAGGGGCTATTGTCATCCTTGTTCCAGCGTGCAAAGCTAACTCCAATATTGATGCACAAACAGTGGTCGGCAGGGCTGCGTACAAACATCTGTGCAGTTGTTCAAATCTGCATTTGCTGACAGACAGTTTGGGCTACTTTTTGGAATTATGAGAGATGTCGGTCCGACAATATTTATTTGGATGAACATTTTTAGTTTTAAGCCTTACCCAAAATATAAAAATGCATAAATACATTTAGATCATTTACTGTAATCATTACTATTAGAGTGTGAAGAGACTTTCAACCAGCACAACAACAACGGCTTCTGAAGACAATCACCTACTGCACCTTTAAAATGATGTAAATATCCTGCATTACAAATAGCTATAATATCATCTATTTTTTTTCACATTCACACCTTTATCCCAATAGCTTTTAAACATTGAAACTGTGTTTGACAAAAACAGCTTCATCATTACACTAATGGAACTGGAAAATTCAGCATTCACTGTTAAAGAGCATCAACACATCATCAGTGTGAGGTTAATAAGGTGTGTGTGTGTGTGTGTGTGTGTGTGTGTGTGTGTGTGTGTGTGTGTGTGTGTGTGTGTTCCACAGTGAGTCTGGGGTTCTTTGATGACATCCTCATTCCGCCAGAGTCGCTCCAGCAGCCGGCTAAATTGTATCCTCAATCATTAATCACACACTAACACAGACACATGCTGTTTTATAGTGTGTTTAATAACAGTTACAGCGATGGATATTGTAAACAAGCTCTGATATATATATATATATATATATATATATATATATATATATATATATATATATATATATATATATAAACGTCTGCATGATCTATTCACAGTAAGCTAAATAACTGCAGCATGAAGTGGAGGTGAAGTTAGTAAATTTGAAGCATGTCTGATAATTAAGGTTAGTCTGACAGCAGGTCAAAGAAACCCATATCCCATGATGCCACTCGGGAGAATTCATGAATGGGTGTGAAGTAATGCAACAGACCCAAGTAGGTCATGTGATAGTCACAAATGGCGGATGCCACCTGCCAACAGCCACCTGTTTTTCCTGGCAGTCTCCTGTATTTCAGACTCATCTCCTGCCTCTTTTCCTTTTTGTATTTCTCCCAGAATTTCACACCGACCCCCAGTCCTCAGCTTTTTGGTACAGATAAGAATGGGTCAGATAAGAGAGACATGCAAAATATGTGCTGTCCTCCAGGAACGGTTGGAAAACACTGCTATAGAGAATGTTCTTTTCCTAATGGTCGTGTTATAATATTTAAATGTAGTACTTACTTGAGTAGTAGGTGATTTCGGATGCATCCGTAGCCTTAGTCAATGCACTGTACCCATGATGCATTGCTCCTGAACGTGCCGCAGTGATGAAGCGGAGCAGGTGTGGGTCTGGGAGTACGAGACGGACGAGGGCACTCATGACCTCTACATGGACCAGGGTGAGGAGATCCGCTTCCGGGTCACAGACGAGGTGTTCGTAGACACGTCTCCCAGCGGGCCGAGTGCAGATAAGGAGGCTCCAGGAACAGGAGCAGCAGCAGCGCCCCCTGCAGGAGCGGAGGACACAGCACAGCAGAAAGAGTCTCCATACACACTCATAGTAGGAGAAACACGGTCATCATGCAGATCAGTGTTCACATCACATCTGGCACATATAAAGTACACGTGACATCAACACTAACCATACTGATTTAGTTAGCTCACACTGCTAGTTTTGTGGTGAACAATTCATCTGTGCATGTCATTAGGACAACAATATATAGTTTGCCCTTGTAACCTTTAATTCAGATCTGAAAATGCACTTCCTGTTTTGTTTTTAGTTAAATTCTCAGATTAGGTCTGTCTGAGGCAGTGGGCGTGGCTAACATACTTAACCACGCCCCTTCAGCTGTCGTCGATATGACAACAAATAAATGGTGAGCAGGAGTAGTCTGTTATGCTGCGTTCACACCAGACGTGGAACGCGCATCAAACGCGAGTGATTCACATGTTAAGTCAATGCAAACGCGCGAATAGACATCCTGCGGCGTGATACGTGCGAATGGCGCGGCACGAATGACGAGAATTGCGCGGTGCGCATGGCGTGGCACGAAGCGTTTGAGCGTTTTGCGAGTTTGACGCGAATCACTCGCATTCGAAAATCTGAACTTCAGCGGACATTCTCGCGGTGTTAACCAATCAGGAGCTTGCTCTTGTGGGGGCGTGATTGTGACGTATCGCCTGTTGTCGGTGTCCCAGGGGAAATCCCCCAGCAGACACCGACAAGAAGTTCATCAAACTGGGCTGGGCTCAGTCACAAGCACCGCTGAAAACCTTCATCAGCCAGGTTCAGTTTCTGCAGGAGTCTATGAGCTTAAAGAGCTGGATGCACCTCTAAAAGGATCTAGTGGACTCAGACACGGCTCTAAACGTATCGACGCTGTTTATCATCCTTCATAAAGCACATAAACACTGTTATTTTCTTCATAAAATCCATGTTAGCCATTTAGCTATGAAGCTAGAGTCACGGGGCAGACAGAAGCCCTGCCCATCACGCGAATCTGCGTCTGTTCTGAAGTGGATTTGACACTCGAATGAAGCGGGGTTTGACGCATGAATAAAGCGAGTAACCTCAAATGTTCACGCGGCTATTTACGCGCGAATAGCGCGATTTATCCGCGCGTTCCGCGTCTGGTGTGAACACAGCATTAGGGTGTAATATCTCTCCCCAAACCATTTTGCCCATCTTTCTGTAAGAAACGCCTACTTTACTACATCCAATCAGCTCACAGGACAAAAAAAACAAGCCCCGCCCACTGTTTCCTCATGTAATATTCAGTTTCTCTAGGAACTGCGTCACAATTGCAGCTTCTGATTCATGCGGACTTTATATTTAGAATCATAAAGAAACAGTTTGTAATTTGTAAAATGTGCCACAGAAAAAAAACTGATGAGAACGTATACTCACATTGTTATTTGATATAAAGGATGTCTAACCTGAGTCCTGATTTCTTCTTTTTTTTTTTGTCCTGCAGGGCTCTGTCAGTGAGCCGGGGCTCGGTCTGCTCTCCTGGTGGAACAATTAACAACACAAACATCATAAGATGAAGGTGTTATGAACTGTGAAGCATTAGCTGGAGCCTCAGTCACTCCTTCATCACCTGCAGACGCTGCTGATCACTTCAGTAACCAGAGATGGATTTAGACTTCTGTCTTCGTCCTTTCTCCAGAGCTATGATGATGATTAATGAGCTGTAATTTTGCTGTTTGGGTGACGGTGGTGTTTTGATATTAGATTTGGTTTGGTGTTCTGCAGATCCTGCTTTATTAATCAATTCAGTTTTACATGAAGCTGGAAATATTTCTGATTTAGGTATTTTTCTGATTCTGAAATGTCTGATTTTGATAAAAAGATTGAAGAGGTTATGTATAAATGGATTTTGAAGTTTGTTTTCCTGCCCTTTATAAGAAAATGCAATAGTAATAAAACAAACAATAAATCTGGCAGATCAGAATCTGATTTTGGATTCATTTTATTTTTGTATTTAAATTAGTTGATATATTAAGTTATAGGGGAAAAATTCAAGCTTATTTGGATTTACAGGGATTATCAGAAAGTTAATTTTTTATTCTTAAAAGTGTGATTATATTTATGCCAAAATGGTAATTGAGGGCTTTTCCCCCTCAGAAAACATTCACCAAATACTATATATTCACTAAATAATTCACCAAATACTGATTTCTAAACTCTTCTGAAATTAAAACATTGGTATTAAAAAATGCTTATGAACATCTGAAAATATGGCACTTATTTTATGCCAAAAAAAGCTCTAAATGGTAATGATCAGTGGCGGATTTAGGCATGGGCAAAATCACCCAGGGTGGCATCTTGCTGTGGGCGGCACGGGGAGACAAAAAAAAGAGTGCCCCAATAAAAGCTGATCCTGATCTTGGTTTTTTACATGCACGATATGCGTCGACTAGCAAGTCATTCATGCATTCATTAATTTTTTTTTCGGCTCAGTTCCTTCATTAATCTGGGGTCGCCACAGCGGAATGAACCACCTGCTAGTCGACAAAACTAAAGTTTATATTATATGAGGATGTTGTTACTTTGACTAAGCATGGCTTTGAAGCAGAAAGGAGGGATAATGAGTCAGGGAGGCAGACTTCATAACTGTAATTATTGGCCATGGGTCAGGTATAAGACAACATATATATATATATATATATATATATATATATATATATATATATATATATATATATATATATATATATATATATATATATATATATACAGTTGAAGTCAGAATTATTAGCCCCCTTTTGATTTTTATTTTCTTTTTTAAATATTTCCCAAATGATGTTTAACAGAGCAATGACATTTTTACAGTATGTCTGATAATATTTTTTCTTCTGAAGAAAGTCTTATTCGTTTTATTTCGGCTAGAATAAAAGTAGTTATTAATTTTTTTAAAAACATTTTTGGGACAAAATTATTAGCCCCTTTAAGCTAATTCTTTTTTGCATAGTCTACAGAACAAACCATCATCATACAATAATTTGACTAATTGCCCTAACCTGCCTAGTGCACCTTATTACCCTAGTTAAGCTTTTAAATGTCACTTTAAGCTGTATAGAAGTGTCTTGAAAATTTTCAAGTAAAATATTATTTACTGTCATCATGACAAAGACAAAATACATCTGTTATTAGAAATAAGTTTTTAAAACTATTATGCTTAGAAATGTGCTGAAACAATCTTCCCTCCATTAAACAGAAATTGGGGAAAAAAATAAACAGGGGCGCTAATAATACAGGGGGCTAATAATTCTGACTTCAACTGTACATACAGTTAAAGTCAGAATTATTCGCCCCCTTTGAATTTATTTTCTTTTTTAAATATTTTCCAAATGATGTTTAATAGAGCATGGAAATGTTTACAGTATGTCTGATAATATTTTTTTCTTCTGGAGAAAGTCTTTATTTGTTTTATTTCAGCTTGAATAAAAGAAGTTTTAAACACCATTTTAAGGTCAATTTTATTAGCCCCATTTAACTTGATTTTTTTCTGTAGTCTACAGAACAAACCATCGCCATAACTTGCCTAATTACCCTAACCTGCCTAGTCAACATAATTAACCTAGTTGAGCCTTTAAATGTCACTTTAAGCTGTATAGAAGTGTCTTGAAGAATATCTAGTCTAATATTATTTACTGTCATCATGACAAAGATAAAATAAATCAGTTATTAGAGATGAGTTATTAAAACTATTATGATTAGAAATGTGTTGAAGAAATCTCTCGGTTAAACAAATTGGGGAAATAAACAGGGGGGCTAATAGTTCTGACTTCAACTGTTTATATATATATATATATATATATATAGAGAGAGAGAGAGAGAGAGAGAGAGAGAGAGAGAACTGTCATAATGAATATTTATGCAAGTCTTAGAACATTCCTCCAGTTTTTGTTTTTACATTGTTTTTTACTTACATTTAGGATTGATTTCTGTTATTTTTTAGAATAATAGTTGTATAATAATAATAATAATAATAAATATTTATTGAAAATAAATGTGTTTATAACAATTATTTTAAATGTATATATATAAAAAAAAAAAAAAAAATATATATATATATATATATATATATATATATATATATATATATATATATATATATATATATATACACAGTGTCTATTTTTGGGGGGGATAGGGGAAAGGTGAATGTTTAGGGTGGTTTCGCCCAGGGTGGCATTTAAGCTAAAACCGCCACTAGTCATGTTTATTTTAAATTTGCAAGAAATGTCTTCAGTGATTTACAGAGTAAACCAAAATTTACTTTTTTTCCCCCCAAACATGTGAATAAATGATAAATTCAGAGAAAGAGAATTGTGGTACCAGAAGACCCATTGTGGGGAAATGGGTCTCCTGGTACATATGCATTCGGCTTAATTGCCTTTAAAAATCCTCCTCCAGTGCTAGTAGTTAATTATAATTTAACTTGCATTTCAAACATGTTATTTATTAAAAAAAAAACAACAACTGATGTTTAAAATAATTTGATATTCAATTGTAAAATTGTTTTTTAACAATGGAATTGAATACTTTAAAGTAAGGTTATATAAGTTGCAGTATTTATTTATTTTTATTTTTTGCTAATGTTAATAAAAAAAATAAAGTTTTTTTATGTTAACTAATGTTAACAAACAGTTGTATTTTAATAATGCATCAAATGTTGAACTACGATTAATAAATACTGTACAAGTATTCATCACTAGATTATGCTAGCAATAGACCATTTCAATGTGGTCCTGTCATTGGCCCATGAACATTTCCTAGTTTTTTTTATAGTTATTTCATAACTGTAACAAGAGGGAGTTCAATCATAACCTAGTGTTAAAGCAGCTATGATAACATTATTTATCAATATGTGGCTCTGTTTGGATTCTCAGAAGCTATAGTAATTAAAAATGCAATTTTTTTGTTTTAGTTTACATCCTCAAAATGGTCTGTATGCACATCAACTTTAAATAATGAAACCTTACTGTAAAGTTTAACCTTAACACCATTTATTAGTGCTCAACATTTATACTTAAAGCACAGAGTTGAGAAGCAGAATTTAATAACATCTCATAAATTCAAAGTAAATGTCCTAAATCAGTGTGCTGTCAGCTGACCTCGGTTTATATAATCTCATGTGACACTAAACAGTCGCTTCAGTGACGGTAGTGACTCACTTTACCGTCTGCAGTGCGTCATCGCCGGTGTTCGGTGATGCATCATCAAACGCGTCGGTTCTCCCGGTAAAAGCGCGTGTTCGGGAATCTCCATCACCACCATCATCACCAAGGGCTCGGCGGATTCGCATCTACACAACTCCAGCTGTAAGTTTCTCCATTAAGTCAATATATTCTGCAGCTTTTCCATAGCTATTTAGCATTCATTCACGTTATAATTACGGTATATTTATAATCTAGAAGTGATCAAACTTGTCCGTTTACCGTCATATTTGTTGATGTCCGGGCGGTGTCTCAATACTCATGCTGCAGCCGCTCCCTCTTGTAACGTTATATTTATAGAACGGTGTTGATTCTTGACAGAAATACACCCCAAAGATGCTGTCTAGTAAGTGAAGTGATGAGGTTGAGGCACAGTCCCCTCATGCCCTTCGTCAAGAACATTCTGGAAGCAGGAGATGCTGAAAGAGACTGGAGAATTAAAGAAACACCGCAGCATTCATTTACCGTGCGTTAAATAAGTGTGTTTGACGCGTCCGTTATGACCGTTATTTTAACCGTCGCGTTTTGAATTCGTGTTTTGGCGTCAAATTATCTGAACGTGAAGGAGTTCTGTTTTAGTCAAAACAAAGTATGGCAGTGACTGCATGTGCTGTACTCCACGCTTAGTGCGCATCCGTATGTTGAATGTTTATTATTAATTTATGTGGCGATGCTGAAGTCGCGTAAAGACAGCAGAACTACCGGCTGTCTGACGTCACGAAGGCAGATTTGGCGTCACGCATTCAGGTTAAAGAGGTTTCCTTCAAACTGCTTCATAGAGTTTATCCAGTGAATGTTTATATTAGAAAATGCTTCCGGAAAAGGATCCCCTTTGTTACTTTTGAAGAATACTAGATTAATCTGTAGATCATCTTTTTTGGGAATGTGCCCAAATTAAGATTTTTTGGAAAGAATTCAGTTTATTTATACGTGTATCTCTTTTATATATTTTTTCTTTGTCATACAAGGATGTTTTATTTGGTTTTTATCATGTTGATAAAGTTAAAGATAAATATTTTCTAATAAATCTGTTTATTTTACTAGCAAAAGTTTTTATACATAAATGCAAATTTGTGTCTGTAAAGCCCCTTTTTCTTATTTTTTGTAAAGATTTGAAATATTATTTAAATACAATCTCTACCTCCAGCTTTAAAATCCGTAACACTATGTGAATCTTACAATATTCTCTCTTTATAATACCCAGATGACTGTATTGTATGTGATTCTGTAAACATCACTGTGACCTTGCTTTAAGGTAAATTTAAAGTGCTTTTTGTAATTCATATTCCCCCTGGCATATTCTTTAGTTTGTATTTTTGTTTTGTTCTGTTCTCTACCTTTGTTGTTAAAGGTTTTGTACCTTTTCTGTAAATTTTTGTATTCTTGCTGAACGCTCTAATAAAAAAAAAAAAAAAAATTCACTGTGCGCAAACTTTACAGAAACTTACGGTATTTCAAGTACATGATGTTCGTATAAAATAATTACACATTATATATATATATATATATATATATATATATATATATATATATATATATATATATATATATATATATATATATATAGAGTGAGAGA